TAGGATGGAAGTTTGCTTAAGAGGGCAGCGTGCCACAGCTGATCGAACGCTTTCGTGATGTCATGAGCAACGACATGAGCCTCACCATAAGACTGGATGAGTTTACTCCACAATTGAGTGACGTAAGCTAGGAGGTCTCCTGTGGATCGTTGGTGCCGGAAACCATACTGCCTGTCACTAATCAAGCCGTGACGTTCGAGGTAGTCCAGAAGCTCGCGATTTATGCACCTCTCCATCACCTTACGTAAAACAGAAAGCAGAGCTATAGGCCTGTAGTTGTAAGGGTCGGCCTTAGATCCCTTTTTCCGGATGGGTTGGACATGAGCAAAGCTCCAGTGCACACCTCTTCAGTACAATGGCAGGAATCAAGTCCGGAACAGAAGCTTTGTTGATGTCGAGCGATAAGAGCACTCGTCTCACGGTCTTATGCCTGAATGTTACCTCCCGGATAGTGTAGGGAACCCTTTGAATTGACGGCACTTGGGCGTTGGGGGGGACGTCCATGGTGGAGTTGGCAGCAGAGATCTTGGCTAGCACTTCCGCCTTGGCCTTTGAGTTGGGTACAATAGTTCCATCCTGACACGTAAGTGGTGGAAGGCTGCTGTGTGAGAAGTTCTTTTCAATCTGCTTGGCCAGCGTCCAGAAGGACCGACTGCCATTGCGCTGCGACATTACCCTGTGCCTAGCTTTTATATCGTGCTGGTTTTTGACATTGCGAATCGCTGCTTTATATTTGTTTCTGGACACAACGTCGGCTTGTCTGTTCTCTGTAGGATGTATTGGGATTTTGTAAGAAGGTGCTGTGCGCCTTGATCTTCTGCAGGCGAGCAGCGACACGGTTTGTTAAACCAGCCGTTGGACCCTGGTCTAGGCACATTCACTGTGTGAGGGATGTATTCCTGCATTCCGACGTGGATAATTTCGGTTATCGAAAAACAGACAGCCGACACATCCGCGTCAGTCATACCGACATATTTCCAATGAAAGCTAAAGAAGAGGTCTCTGAGTCCCCCCCCCCCGAGTTTCTGCTGCCACAGCGGGTTCTGACCGAAACCTAACCTCCACTATACCGTGGTCTGAGTTACCCAGGGGGGGGACAAGACAGCAGTGCTGTAAGGGACAGGATGCTTGGTCAGAAAGAGATCCAGCAGGCAGCAGATAAATTTGGGTGATGTTTTGGAGTTGAGGCGAAGCCACAGAATGTCCTTCCGGTCTGTTTCCAAACAAACATCTTTGGAGCAGGAAAGAGTGCTGCGGACAAAAGCCACAACTCCCCCGTTCTTTCTCAGATTGGAGTGCACCTCGTAGTTTGGGAAGTTAAGATGATTAATCGGTGCAGACTCTGATATTTTTGTCTCCGCCAAGAAAAGCACGGCGGGACCATTGGATTGCAGGTAGTGATGAATAGCATCAATGTTGCTGTTAATCCGGCAGATGTTCGAAAAACAAATTTTATCGTCGATGTTGTGCCCTCGAGCCCACCCTCCACCCAGACATTCCCAGAGTGGAGTGAGCTTACGTCCGGAGTTCTTAGTGCTCGAGGGATCCATGAGCATTAATTTCTTTGTTTTGGAAGATAACCGACTGCATAGCTTAGGTGTGGAAACATGCGAACATTTATAAGACACCCTGGGAAAATCTAGCGGGTGGTACTGCCTCGGTCGACTGGTCCTTGTCTACCACCTTCTTTTTACGTGTTAGTGATGTTAAATAGACCGCCACTCGGCAATCGGTACAGAGCTATTCCTCAACGCGTGTACAATCACGTGAACGGGAAGAAGTTGTATACTGGATGCAACAACTTCCGGAACAAGCATTTCCTACGGCCCCGCTCAATAGGGGTGCACGGGTGCGGAGGCTATGCACTTTTTGTTCTTATTTTATGTATTTTACGTTACTTGTCCATAGACCGCGTTTGTGCACATGAGCTTATATTGATATACTCTGCTCATTTCTATTTTATTATGATGATAATAAATCAAGTGATGGGGCAGTACTTCAAATTCCTGATCAAATGGATAGGAATATGTTTTTCAAATTCTTTTCTGCGTCTTCGCTGCCATTTTACCGCACATCATCTTTGTTATTTCAAAGGTAGCTATTTCTGAAAAGCAAGTCCCAACTTTCAGGACACCCTGTATTGATGTAGCCATCTCAATACTAATTTGAATGTTCAAGGTACCGCGTCATCGCTCCGCGTTGGCGTCGCCGCCGCTGTCGTGCCGGTAGTACTGAACGAACCACCGTGACCAACGGCGCAGCAGTGTCAAGGTGATTCACGGTACCTTGAACTTGCCTTCACTGACCTGAATATTTCCCAGCGGGCGGTACAGAACTTGCTTTCCGATTTGACTGTATATGCATACAGACAAAACACCTTCATTGTGCTATCAAAATGAGGACACATCTTGAGGAAAATGGCGATGTTTGATTCAGTACTTCCCACGCACTCGTTTGTGTTAACTTTCATCAGCTGATACCAGCGTTCGGTTTGTTACTACTTCAATATAACGTCACGATGGTGACTACCACACCAAAATAGTTGTTATCGAATATCTATTTCCAAAATACGTTCAAACATGAGAATTTTTCATTAAGCTGCACTCTTGACTCCCTTAAAATAGTGCTACATTTAATTTTAAATAAACTTGTTTGATTTCCGTCTCTGTAACGACGGCCAACCGCAGACGGCGCCGTTGTGTGCTCATCAGTGCGTTATAAGTGTACTAGTCCTGGAGACTGATTGACCGGAAAGCAAGCGGAAAAAATCAAAATGCAGATAGGCGAGCTTACCTCGTAAATTATTTACTATGAATTTACTAGGGGGGCTAGGACTGGCGAATGGGGTGGGTAATCTACAAGTTCAAAGCTTGGGGTAGAGCAGCCATAGCAATGTAGGAGGTAAGGCTGATACCATTATCCTGATAAAGCAATACGCCACTCATTAAACTCACAATCGTTTCTATTTAATGGTAACTGGCAAATTTTACGAGAATATCATGTTCGCATTCTAGATCTCTATAACTGTATATTTCGATCTTGTAACACCATATCATGTATTTTTTCTTTAATTTTGGTTGGTTGATATCGTGATAGATGGCCCACTGGCATGTTGGTTTTCACAAGATGTCTTTCTACAAATCTACTGCCTTGACTATATCATACGAAGCTGTATACTCTCCAACAGCCGCCAAAATATTGTGACGAATTTTTTGAAAACACCTTAATAAGACTCTTTGCTCAGCTGGATCAATTTCTGGTCAGGCCTGAACCAAACGGCACGAAATGTCAAAATCGTCTGAATAAAACTTGATGTTTCGCTAAAGTAGCTTGACTCTCTATGAACACAATTCATCTACAAGGTGGTAAGAGTCCAAGCATAGGGATCAACTACCGTATTTCGAAGTGTATGCAAAATTCCTGTAGATTCAAGAAACTGAACAGCTGAAATCAAGTGAACTCACAAATTCAAGTATCTGATGTGGAATTGCGACGTTGTGGTTGTCGAGGTTATCCTTTTTTCCATTGTCGGACATAATCTCCTTGAGAGCCAATACAGGCTGGACAGTTTTACAAACATTTAAGTATGTGCACTTGTATCAACATTATTTTAAATCATATTTCAACCGAATTCTTATTTTTGACATCATTTCGCACAAATAAGAGACATGAGTACCTTCGGGACGGGCCAGCCCTCTTTTCGTCAGTGAAGTGGTATTGCATATTAATAATGAATATACATGTTGTTAAAGCATATAGAAAGGACTATAGAAAATTCTATATTGTATAAGTGTACTCTTAATTCTGAGGTCCTTGAAAATGTATTTGGTGCGCAGAGGTGGTTGAGAAATACGTAAACACATATTTTGAAAATGTAAAGTTTTAACTTCTGCAAAACGCAGGTTCAGGAGATTCAAGTTTTGGGACTATTTACGTACTTATTGTTAAAAACTCCACCGATTTTCATCACCATAGCAGCTTTGTGATAGATTTTCACCCACTGTGCGCTTACAGATCATCGCTTCCTGAAGACCAAACATTGATGCAGTAATTGCATTTAGCATAGATTTCACCTACGGCTTGGAAGAGTGCTGGAAATCACTAAATTCAGTTGCTAGTGTTTCCAAAAACATTCACGTCGATATGTGTTGACGCTGAAGTCTGAAGTAGGATTAATTCTGGGGATATCCTATTAATACGCATGATAATGACGCTTTGGTTAGACCCGGATGTAGTTGGAGTTCAACCGTATATGTTCCACTGTTTTCACATTTCGACGTCTTTTGGGATGACTTATGATGTTGGCATAATGAAATATAATATCTTTTGGGTCAATCAGCCGATGCTAACTGTGCGTAAAGGCATTTTCCAAAAAGTTTATCATATTGGGACGGTATAAGAATTCAATGATGTTTAATTAGTGTGCCTCAATCAGGTCTTTGATGACATTTGAAGAAATTGAAGCGACAAAGATATTCGTAACAGCAAGTTTTCTCAGCTTCTCCACTTCAATCGTTGTTTTCAGGTTTAATAAAGATTTTGTATTATAAATAATCTTTTTAGATATACCTAATTTGAGAACAGATCTATATTTATACACAAGAACCTTTGTTATTTTATACGTTTGAACTTACTAAGCCTTTCAGCGCTTAAATAATATAATACTTAAACTTACCTTTGTACGTAATATGAGCTTTTTTGTATGGGCCTCCACAGATACACTCAACAATAATCAATAGTCCAAATTAGTCCAACACCATTATTTTTTCACATACTCCTGGACTCATATGCACCCGACTGCAGTCTAATTGACTTTTTTGTTCACCTTAAAGCACTGCTGTGTATCGAGTATTATTTTTTATTATACTAATGTACCCCTAAGTGTCTTATAATTGCTTCATTGTTAAAAATATCATGTAGCTGTTCACTTGAACAAGTAGCTTCTGTTTATTTGAATTAATTTGCTTACGCTGAACGTTCGGTATAATTCGACTACTGACCTACTTTACGCAGGTCTTCTTTGACTGGCTCTTCGCGGTTAACTGAACCTGATGGTACATGAAGAACTCGGAAGACAGTTACTGGTGATTCAACACTGGCGTTCATATGGGGCGTTAAGAGGAGGGAAATCACATATTGCTGTTAGCTCAAGTGTGTTGATGTAGACACCAACGCATATGTCGAACAATGTTCAAATCAACCATAGCGGAAGTACATTCTGTTGGGTGAAACTACCAAAAAATTTTTTTAGTAGAAAATGTGGACGGTCTTGTCACACCACTTCTATGTATGCAGTCTGGTAAGTATTTAGAAGACCGCTGCGGAAACACTACGCTAATCAAGATATAGAGATATCTTCAATTTGCCGATTCAGGTTTCCATTCATTTTAATACGTGTAGCCGCAAAATGGACAGGAGAACTAACTAGATACTTTAAGGGAAACATCCTAAAGGTTAAGGATGAGGAGTTACATTGATGGAAGATGTTTAGTTTTCCTCCTTGACGCTAACTATCAGGCGGGCTGCCAGGCTTTTATTGTTTTTTAAATCCGGTATTTTGATATGCTTCTGCAGAACGTTCCATTTTTACTTTTTAAACGGTTGGAATCTATATAACCATATGTACACAGTTTGTTGTCATTCTTTTTGTTAGTTTTTGTTCTGTGGTCTTTATATATTTTCTTGGTCAATACTTTTAACTCAAATTTTGATTTCAATTCTTCATTTAAAACTTTTAAATTTTATAAATATATTTTTAGCCCTGAAAAAGGCAAGTAATAAACACCGAAACGTTGGTAATCTAAACAAGGACACTTCCTAACACCTATACAGGGTGTTTGACCCATACCATTGGGATCTCGGAAACAAGAGATACGAAGTCGCTTAAATGAGGACAAAGTTGCGTATTTGGGTATTCAACTAAATGCCGCTTAGACAGTTTCGAAATTCAAATTACCTCCGAAGAGAGTCGGTAAGTTCTGAATTTTTCCAAAACCATTTTTGTTTTTTTCCTGACTTTATTTATAGTGTGATTTCAAAATAAATTCCAGATTAACATTGCCAATATTTATCCTTTACAAGATGGCATAATTAAAATTCCAATATGACATTTCGTCTCTTGTCCTACAGCCTCAACTTTATTTTTTCTCATGGAAGCAATATTGTGTTTTTGGGCAGATAAATAAAGTTTTCAATTATTCTGATTTCAACTCGTCAGACATTGGCATTGCCAAAGCTTCGTTATTCCAGAAAAACAGAAGTTCCTAGGTAGGCCTTGAAATTGTTAGATTTCATTTGTTTACTATACCAGACCAGACCTCAAATTGAACATGGCAATAGAGCTTGGAAGACTGAGAAGAGTAACAAATCGGGCAGTGAACAATGTACAGAGAAGAGTCAGACGTTGCCTTCAAAATAACCGACAATATTTTAAACATCTACTATGATTTACCTGTGTTTATTTATGACTATTAGTGTCATCATTAATAAAATTTCCATTTTGTATTTAGGTTTCACCATACCTTTTCATTTCCTTATAATTTTCATCTAACAACAAATTCATAGCCATCAAAGGAAATACATTTAAGATTAAAAAGTTCATTTAAATGTACACAATTCCCCAACATAGTGACCCTATGAAAAAGTAAAGTTGGTGAAGGAGGTCGAAAGAAAGTATGTCGAGTTGAAGATATGACTGCGACTTCTTGTGGAGGAAAATAAATAACAACGACAACATGGAATTTATTTTGAAGTCCCATCTCAGATAAAGTTAGGAAAAAATTAAAATGATTTTGGCATAAATCTGGTATGCGAAATAAATGACTATCTGATAGGAAATTCTGTTTTTTAAAATAACTAATGTTCGGCAACGCCAATGTATGGCGTGTAGTATATTTTTGGAATCAGACTTGAAAACTCTATTCATCTGTACGAATATCCAATATAGTCTATAAAAAAAATAAAGTTAATGATGGTGGACAATAGACGAAACGTCATATTGAAATTCTAGTTATCCATCTTGTAAAGCATAAATATTGGCAATGTTACTGTGGAATTTATTTTGAAATCCCACTACAAAGTCAGGAAAAAAAGTTGACGATTTTGGGAAAATTTGGTTTTTCCGTCTCTCTCTGGAAGCATCTTGATTTCCAAAGCTTTCTAATCAGGTTTTTACTGATTACCTAAATACACAATTCGTTTTACAGTTTCCGATATCCCAATGGTGAGGGTCGAATTTGAAACACCCTGAATATCCCAAGAATACGAAGCACTTCAAACTACATAATATCAGACACTGGGATAAGAAGTTATTTCTTTTATTGTTTTTCCCAACATTACGGCCCAGTAAGAAAATGAAGTAGATTAATACTTTTAGTAGCTCTAATCTCTAGTTTATTTGTCCTTTGTTAAAATTGCGGTCATTAGCACTTAATAAATTTTGCAGTATCGCAATTAGAAAAGTAATGCAATATTTCATGGATGACTTGGTACTGTTTTTGCTTTTCAATAATTCGTTTAGTGACTGGAAGTTTAAGCAAGCTACGTTTCAACGCATCATCTACCTCACTTTCATTTTCACAAATATTTCACACCGAATACAAAATTATATGACGCCCTGCAGATATTCTTCATCAGACCGAAAAACAAACTAAAACAGATGTAGATGTGACATAAATGTTTTTGCTATAAGCTCAATGAACCATTGAAGGTGCTGAATACGCTACGCCACTGTTATTGGCCTAGTTCCGAAGCAATGTTATACAGTGTGTAGTACGGTATCCAAATGGCTTAGAATACAGTTACGTGCTTTAAAGAACAACTTCCTCTTTCATCTGGCTAAAACTTATGGTGCTGTTACCTCAACTCGGAAACCAGTGCAGTGAAGTTTCCGAGTATTTCGTAGGAGCGCAACTTCATTTGTATCTGGCATAATGACTTGCTGAGGAAAGGGTTTTTTTAGATTAAAGTACATATTGATTATTGAATAATGAATGAAACGCGCTTTACATGACATGCTACCGACAGCTCATGCAAATTTTACAAATAGGACGCCTATGTATCACAATTAAGAAAATGGAGTTAGCTTTAAAGGCACAAGATGCTTTGCTTCAGTGATGAAAGATTTTTCTGATTTGCCCTCTTCTGTATTTTAAAAGATATGTACATCGCGTACTATAGGTACTACCAAATCGCTATCAGATCAAGAGAGGACCCTTCGTGGAATGTCTTTATAATTCGCAGGTCGGCTCGATTAGCCTTAGGTTTCTTTGCATTATAGCAGGGGAGCCTACCGCAAAATCTCGGTTACATTATCGGGTACTGATCAAAACTAGTCAAAGATGCTATACGAATTCAACCTGCATTCACTCATGAACATCCCTACTAGAGAAATTGTAACATCATCTAGTTGCTTGGACGTAGACCACTGGGTAAACCGGTGGACAAAATGAGTACACCAAACATCCCTTTTTCCATGAAATCCCAGGACATCCTTGAAAATTTGCTAACTTCCCTAGACATCCCAGAATATCTGTGGACATTCTTGTAAATCCCTGGACATCCCTGGAAATCCCTGCACAGCCTTGGAGGCAATATGAACATCCTGGGAATAGTTTACAGACATAATACATTCAGGCATGACATTAATGATATTGTTGCAAGCTTCCATTATTCCAGTTACACTTCAGTTAAGTCAGTACCTCTCTAGCACTAGTCTCAATCGCTCTACTAAAGGTGCTACTGAAATAAAGTTAGTCGACAAATTAACTTCGACCTATCGTTGTCGTAATGCGTAAATATCATAGGTACTCTGATTTTGCTATATCTATCGGAATGTTTATTTGCCACGAGAAATATTCTTTAACCAAAAATTATGTAGGTCTGGCAATAATATATTTATTTGGAAGTAATCACAGAACAAGGATATCAAAATGAAAACAGCAGTTCTTAAAAATAAGTAAATGAAAATACAATCGCTTGGTTGAACAAAGTTGAGATTTGAGTCGAAGGTACTTATTTCGAATAATATTTAATTCATTTTGACTCAAGTGATAAATAACAGGATCTGGTAATTTGTTCTATGACGACGATGCGGTCTTTGGCCAGAAGAATCTGTTCCTCCAAATGACTTGTTTTAAAAACGTTATGTGAAATTCACAGTCGTTAAACTTTTTTTTGATGCGGCGAACATACCATCCTTCCTCGTAATATACCCCATAAAACCGGACAAGTCTGAGAGGAATACTTTGAGGTTGAGGTGATGCGGCGGTTATTGTGGAAGAGGGTAGCTGTTCTATAGTCTTTTCACCAACAACTGTGTTTTCATCTAGTTCTTCATATTGTTCTGTGTTGAGCTCATCATTATCTTTAGAATCGATATCGCCAGCTGACTCACCATCAGTGTTGTCGTAAGATATTTCTCCCTCAGTACTATTGGATGATGAATATCCTGATACATCAATCTCGCTATAGCTGTAAACTTGATTAACTCTTACCCTTTTTGTTTCATTCTTTAAGCCAGCTTAGGTGGCTGATTATTTTCCTCAACTTATTTGTGACTCAGTTTTGCAGATGCAGCTGGACGTATTATAAAAATTCGTGGTCAATCAGACCTAACCCTTTCATGGCAGTGGTCAAGTAACCAACAAAATGTCGACTGTTTCTTGATAGCTGATTATTCACCGACATTAACGTTCACTAAAGACTTGACATCACCAACTCCTAGAAGCGAAATAGTGGACGAATGTTAGGGTTACATTGAGCTGAAATTTTATAAGTCCACTCTACTCATACTCTCTGTATTTAATGGTAATTCTTTGAGCATTCTTATTGTTTTTGCGTTGATGTCTTGACTGCAGGACTTATTATAATCTAGCTCCTCATACGCTTCCGTTTCACACAAAACAACTTGTATTTCATCGGTGTGCACCTCTTGTCCAGCTCCTGCCTCGTCCAAATGTTCAACATTCTCAACATTTTTTGATACGCAAAGCAAGGGCAAGCGACTTTAGCTCCTTGCCTGAACTTACACTTCCAAATCTCTTATATCTTCAAATCCTTTGTTGAAAGCACTTGTCACTATGAAGACAATGTCTTACCTAGACTTTGTCTGGTTTCTGGGCAACCAGCACTGACAGATTCGACTAACGTACATTAGACAGTGACTAATGGGCAGAGGTCCTACGGACCGCTCAGACAAACAAATGACGAATAATTAGTCAATGTCTGAATTGGTAAACTGATTCAAGGTCCAGTCTGTGGTACTACTTTGGATATTGCCTTCGATTCCTTGGCGAGACCCATTTCGACTTGTACTCTTCTAAAGTTCTCCAATGATTAAATGAGTAAATGACAGTGGTCTTTGCCTGAAGGTATAATGACTCGTGAGCCTTTTTCTAAGCTTCTTGGTGGTTGTGGTTTCTCTGCCAGCTAATCTCTGAAGTATAAAGGCATTTTTTCTCTAATAAACTTTTCAATTTCCACTATATCTTCGTCCGACAGCTCAGCTAGTAGTCGCTCATTATTGAATCAATTCATTTCCAAAACCCTTTTTATAGATTCTGGAATGGTTATTTTTAGCTCGCATTCTAGTTTGTCTGATATGCATGCAGCAAACCATATAAATCTAACGTCTAGTGAGGCGCGCTAAAAGTGAGGTTATGTATAAATCTGCAACTGCGCATGCGCTGTACGGTCACATGGCTTGTTGGAACTATGGTACTACTCAGACATCCCTTGAACAACCTCGGACATCCAAGGACATCCCAGGAAATACCAGGACATCCCCAAATATCCAGGGACACCCCAAGACATCCCAGGGTATGTACACCAGACATCCCCAGCGGCTTACCCCCTGACCTAGACCATATATTTGAAAGACACGAAAAAAAAAGAGCATTGAACCTGTCTCAGAAAATGAGCTGTTAAATATTGTACAAACAACAACACCCATGGTTTCGATGGTATTCGGGCTGAGTTAGTAAAACAAGTCGCTTACGAAATTTCTAAACCATTAAGCTTTTTAATCAACCTAAGTATACAAGTTGGGGTATGTCCAGATATTTTCAAACTGGGTATAATAAAACCTATACACAGGACAAGCAATCCTTTAGAAGTTACAAATTATAGACCTATTACGCTCACTACCGTATTTGCCAAAATTATTGAAAAGGCTTTTAAATACAGGCTCATGAAATTTTTTGAAGAACACAATCTACTCAATAAAAATTAGTTCGAAAAATACGGTAAGAACTGCTTGACCAAAGCAAGCCAGCTCTGTGTTTTCCTGGATCTTGCAACAGTAGATCCTAATCAGCTGTTGGGTGTTTTAAAATATTCTGGTATCAGAGGTAGTGCACTTAATCTATTGAAAAGTTATCTTGAGGGAAGAAAACAGATAGTCCAGAGATAAATTCTACTTTCAGTGAAGAACAAATAATTATATGCGGTGTACCTCAAGGTACTGTTTTGGGTCCTTTGTTATTTAACTCATACGTGAACAGCTTACTAGATTCACAAATAGAGGGAGATGTCGTTTGTTTTGCTGATGACACCACTATTCTTTATTAAGATGAATCGTCGTAGAATAATCTTAAGGAGAAGGTAGAAAAGGATTTCATTACAGCTTCTGATTGGTTCAACCATAAACGCCTCACTATAAATTACCAAAAAACGACGTTCATGCCATTTTCCAATGATAAAAGAAGGATTCCTGATTATGCTGCTATTGAGATAAAACAAAATCCAGAAAGTTCTCACGAAATCATTAAAATAGAATCCGCTAACAAAATCAAATATCTGGGCGTACCTTTCATATTAATCATATTACCTTGAACTTAAGATGTCATTCAAAATAAAATATCTGCTTAATTATCTGGATCAAAAGAACATGAAAATTATTCACCAAGCTCTGGTGGAGTCTAGATTGCGATATGGTTAATTAGCTTGGGGTGGAGCTCTAACCGTTCACTTAGCAAAACTTGAGGTACTAGAAAAACATTTTTTTAAAATAATTCATAATAAAAACAGACTTTATCCATCACAACAGCTGTATAGAGATGCAGATACTCTAGACCTTCGGCAATTGTTTTCGTTCCGTATATTGGTATATCAATTTAGAAACAAACATATGTATCTCGCCAGTCGGTTATGTGACTTGCTGCCTGATGAATTAAAAAAAAAATATGTTAGCTACCGAGATTTAAAAAAGAAAAAACTCTTACTTAAAAAATGACATGTTGATATTTAAAGAAAAAAATCTGTTACCGATTTTATTATATATAATACGAATTTTTGACTTATATACTGTTTTTTGTAGTGATAACGTTCATTACTGTTTGTTTGTCATTTGTATCTTTTAAAAAAAGTATAGATGATTTAACAGATTAGTAAACCGTTCGTTAGGTAATACTTGTATATTTCTGTTTTTCACATGTAGGTTCTTGAAATTTAAAAAAATATATTAACGCCTTGTATTTTCTAATAGCTTTTATCATTATATTTTATAAATATTCGTCATATAGCTAAAAAAAACTCAATGAGTATATTCCGCTACGCACAAGCATTTGCTTCTTGCGGGAGATGCTTTTTTCTTTTGCTCCTAAATTGTATTTTTTCTTCAATAAACTTTACTATTATTATTATCATTATTATTGTTATGATTATTTTTATTATTAATATTGTTTATGATCAAAATAGGTGACTATTACTGGTTAACAAAAAAAAAACAGGGATCTGTGAGCGGATCGACCCGGGCTACTAATAATTGACTCTGAATGTATCGCGGCGGTGTTGCCAGACTGACATAAAATATTTAAAAAACGCTACATGTATACTGAGATGAAAGCAGATCAGTTTCTCCACAGTTTTTGGTGACTGTTTTTAAAAGTCATACGAAATAAGTAAATATACCCTCTCAAGACCAGGCCGTCTAGTACCTAGATAACAACCATGTCGTATATGTCGACCACTGATCAAGCAAACAATTAGACTATAGAGAGAAATTTGAATTTCAAGCTGACGTTCCTCTATTGTTACTAAATTAAATTGTGTAACACTTAGCTACAGATTTTCAGAATAACTTCTGCTTACAGGACGCGGAGAGCACTCGCAAAAAGTATGGTTTATAACTTTACTGAATGAAGAATTTGAATGAAAGCTGCATTCACAGCAACTAAGGGACAATGAGATCATCCCAAACAGAACATCTATCAGGCAGGACCACGTTTATCTATGACCAAATAAGAACTATAAGCTCAGCACGTGTTTAGACGCCATCAGCTGTTTTGTGGACACCTTGTTTTCGGTTGAATCTCCCATTTCTCTCTAATCAATTTGCGTTGCCTAGCTTATGGTTCTAGAAAAGTTTCTCAAGGCATGCAGACGATATGTTTTCTATGCGTGGATAGTGTGCACGCACTAAAGCCGTGGGCACGCAAATTACCCAAAAAGATTCCTCAAGTATAGTTGAACTCAAATTGCTAACCCTTGTTAGCAATAAGGAGTAATACTGATAAGTCAATTAAGAATGAATATGTTTTATTAATAATTAATTTTATTTACAATAAATTTGTATGCTTTGTTATATCTGTTCTATACAACTAGATCAGTTGATTTAGCTTTACCCACAGGGCGTGTCATTAGTGATTTGGATCTTGGTATACTTGTTAGGCTTTGAGTCTGAAACAGAAAATAATATTTTACTCGATAAGATTCTTTATTATACATCACAAGAAACATAAAACTTCAATTTTATTAGCGGTGATAGTGGTAGTAGCAAATGTTACGGATAAAAAGCTCCTATATCCCATATGCAGGGATAGTTTAGTTTCAGTAAGACATAGTATGTCTATATTATTTAGTATAAAACTGGCCACGTAAGTAGATTGACATGAAAAGGTGTAGTAATGAAAATGATGTTCAATAATAGTATTGTTTCTGTAATAACATTTTATGGAAATATTCATTTTTGCACCTCCGATTTTTTTTTATTCATTCATTACTTTACGGTATGATTCCTGTGTATACGTATATAGTATTTGTGGAGTTTGCAGATGATAATGAATAAACATGTAGATATAATTTGTTTCTCACTAATGAGGCAGAAGCGTAATGCTAACTAAAAATAAACAAAATTCACATTTATTGTTAATACAATTCATTCGTAGTCATTGTTATTTCTTTCAACACGTCTACTCTCACATTGATATTCATAACGAACTCGAGTTATTACCTATTATAACAGAACAGAATAGAAATCAGAACTATCATTTGTATATATAACGTACCTTTGATTCGTATTATGAATGATGTTAATGCGTTAGTAGCAACTTGTTGCTAAAGCATAGCCTGAAAGTAAGATAATATATCTACATACGTACAATATACAGCTATTAAATTGGGGCTTCTGGGAATCAGAAAAGCCTGCATGCTTTTGATAACTACAGACTCTAGTGAGTCTAGAAGTAATTTTAAACAAATTACTCTGAAGTCAACGCTCAAAGATCAATATTAGCCTTAAAAGTCAGGTTAAATAGGATACAATTCCTTGTCTACCCAGTGCACAGCCTTTTTAAAGATCCAAAATTTTGACCGTTTACGATGAAGTCAGTCTCAAAAATACATAAAGGAACGAGGAACGAATATAGCCTACCTTCCTATGCGACTTGATATTTCCTTGGCTCCGGAATATTGAGAAATTTTATTAAATAGAATCATCCTCGTTATTTGTAGTTACACAAATAAAATAAGGCTACGTTAACTAGTTGTATAGCTTCTTTTCGCCCGACCACAGACGGCCAATCATCGACAGGTGTTTCATACTATTTGGAAACTCATCATCATGGTCAAGGCTTGGTTTCAGGTAGGGCAAAGAACGAAATCTGAACAACTATCTACTACGGATTATAAAGTATATCCAAATAAGACAGCACAATGTGCCATCTATTGCCAGAATCGACCACTGTGAGAGTGAGGCAGCAAGCTGTCTGTTGGTGCTGTATTCCAGTTCGTATGTGACACCCGGGTCGCCACTACAAGCAATTATATTATTATTAGCTTACTTAATGACGAGTAGACCGCATCTACCACACCGATAGAATCAATGGCATCTAGCGGCCACGGTGGTCACCCGGGTATCAAATGAGAACTGGAACCCAATTCTAACAGCTTGCTGTTTTCACTCTGTCAGAGGTCAATTGCGATATTATTAGGTTTTTAATATAGTGACTGATTGTCAGTTAATGAACATTCCTACCATGCTATTACCGATTAGAGTGTTAGCTAAGTTATTAGTACAGGAAAAAGAATTATTACCAGTTAGTATTTCTCTGACTGAAGAAGCATGATCTGAGATGATTCGTTCTTGTACAGAATTGATATGTATTCACATATTTGCCTCTGTTGAACAGATATATGGTTACCTCAATATTTCTTGGGGTCCTGTACTCTGAAAAATGCTTTCTTTTAACCAAGCCGTCTCTGTACGGATTAAATGTATGATTACTTCTTGTTGAAGCAAGCAACAGCGTATCTCCATCCAACTGCTTCTTCTTCCTTCTCTCGCAAAATATCTTTTTGAAAGTTTGCCTGAACTTTTTGGATAGGACGCAGTAGATCAGGAAGTTACAAGGTGCGTTCAGCATCAGCATCAAATTGAATATGTTCCCTAAAACTATAAGGACTTGAAAGGCCCCTCTCCACAGTGCAGAGAAAGTTTCTACAAAGATGGTTATCAAATGCCCCCTTATCCTTATAGGAGTTACAATTTCGAAATATTTTGAAAGCGGGAGCAATACGTTATGAATTTCCATACCAAAGTCCAGGTTAAAAACAAAAATATGATGTTAATGAATGTTAACATTGAGAGTAATCGGTAGTACATTAGGAGAGTAATGTTATCTAAAAAAAAGTGCTTGTTTCATTCAAGTCTACAGTGCGGGTATTCTAGAAATTTACAGTGTTGCTTATTTTCGTATACATATTTTTTTCTATAGGTACTCCTTGTGTTGTTCTTAGATGTAGTTTATACTGTAGGTATGGTGTCATTGTTATTTATCCACTATGTATAATGTTTCATTATATACTTACTTCGCATTATATTGTTTTCTCTTGGAGTAGACACTTTATGAAAGTGATAATAAATCAAGTGTGCAGATGTTGGCGTATTACAGACAAGAAAACTTATCACTATACCAATCAAAATTATAGTTATTCTTCTTTCGTTACTGAACATTGTATTTTCCTGAAATGAGTATCAACATTGGATTATTGACGAAATTAATAGTATCCTGCACATATCAATAAGAGTCGAAAAAAACTCAGAAACTGGCGTAAATTTTTTTCAGCATTATTGTACCTTCATTTAAGCTTGATCCCCACATAGAGAGATTTATGTATATATTGCATACCTCGGTATTATAGACATATAAAAGAAATACCAAATTTTCTACTATGTCGTTCTCACATAAATTAAGAGAGAAAAAATATATGATGTGTTTGATACTCACTGTACTATTTGTCATTACTCTTCTTAGTTGTTGGGACAAGTATACTGCTCTAATTAAAAAGCAGTTGAAGGTGGCTATGAGTACCAATGGAATGATTCCAAAGAATAAAGCTGAGTACCAATAGATGAAGTTCAAGTAATTCATGTTTTTTGATAGATCTGTAGACTCTACATCGATGGTGAGATTTTTCAAGCAGCAATATGTTTTGTATGTTATATTATTACTATCTACTGTCATCTGGATGTCCTGGCTATTCTCTTCGTTGTTTTCAAAACTGCTGTCTGAAAACAAATGTTGTGCCACATCATTTTTGGTTGGAAATCATATGCTACACTTCTAACTGACTTGGTGGCACTTAACTAAGCTAGGAGATGACCAGAACAATATGTGAAGGGAGTGGGGTCCAGACCACACCCCACCACAGTATCAAATACATCTATCGAAAACAACAACATGAGAGATGGGCAGAGTGGCGAGATTTGAACCCGCATCTCCTCCGGTCCGTGGCCGACGACCTAACCAAATTCACGGCTCCGGTAGCCCACCAACATTCAAGATCGACGGTTAGATGCAAATACAATCCTCTCCCAAGCTGCCTTAGAACCCCAACTGGAGGCTTTCAAGTGGAACAACAACCGAATCGGTAAGATATCTCTGATAAGCAATCCGATTCCTTATAATTGTTTATATTACTTTTCTATATAGGATCGATGGTTTTCGTGATTTTTGATCAAATGCTCCACGCCTATCATGCGTCAATTTGAATTTATTATTAAAAACGATACCACCATCAGAATCACGGCTGCAAAAATTGGAAGACTTCCTTATAAAGGCTGGGTCAACAGTTATTTTTTTCAGTTGGTATTTATTTGACAGTTGGTAACACTTCCATGATCAACATATTGACAGATATATTGTGTCAAACATCCGCTGTCAGCAATGGATCGTTTTAATCTTGAACAAAGGTGGGAGATATTGAAAAACTATTTTCTAATTCCGTGTACCAAGTCAAAAAGCCTGGGTGTTTCCTCTTAAACTAAACACTTCTATTTTTCTTTGCTCTTCCCCTTTTTTCTTATCTTTCCTTTTCTCTTTTTCCTTGACATTGTCTGGTTTCTGGGCAACCAGGACTGACAAATTCGACCAACGTACATTAGACAGTGACTAATGGGGCAAAGGTCCTATGGAACGCCCAGACAAACAAATGACGAGTAGTACTATTTTCAAAGTGCTGGGTTGCAGAAACTTTGCGGAAATTGAGAAGCTCAATCCGCGACTGGTATACGAAAATTCGTGAAGAAGGTTCGTGGAACTGGCCTGGTTGTCGATAACAGAAGGTATGAGCGTGTTCGATCCGTACGAACGCTGTTGCCCATAGTATGCGTGAAAATGCATGAATGTCAACTCGTCACAAAGTGGGCATCAGTCGCACTTCTGACCTGGGATTATTTCCTTACAAGGTGCAACTTGTGCAACAGTTGAAAGAAAATGCCCATCCGCTTCCTTATCTTTTCTCTGTGTGGGCTCTAAATCAATCGGGAACGGACGTCATGTTTGGTCGCCGAATCATCTGTCCGGACGAAGCCCATTCCCATCTGGGAGGGTACGTTTACGAGCAGAACTGTAGGATTTGGGGTTCTGAAAATCCACATGTCATAGAAAAAGCAATGCATCCAAAAAGAGTAACTGTTTGGTGTGGCTTTTGTAGTGTGGGATTATTGGTCAGTACTTCTTTCAAGATGAAGATGGTAACAGGGAACGCTATAGAGACATATTGAGTTTCTTTGTGTCCACTATTAAACAACATGCACTGGCCAATCTCGGGTTTCAGCAGAATGGCGCAACATGCCACACCAACCGTGAATCGTTCGATTTTTTACACACTAACTTCGGTCATCGCGTTATCAGCCGTTTTAAATACGTTCATTGGCACATTATTGGATGCCTGAGCTGTAGGACTGCTGTTACACTAACGATCCTCAAGAAATTGATGTCCTTAAGGAAAATATTCGTCGAGCTATTGATGAAATAGACCCACAAACTACCGAAAATGTGCATCAAAATTAGGTTAAGAGGATGAACTACTGCCAGGCCAGCCTCGGCAGCCATTTAACTGAAATTGTTTTTCATAAATAATCGGAACATGTATTCTTTTAAATAAGGTATCGAGTGTTACATATATTATTGAAGAGTGTAGTTTTAATACCAATTTAAAAAAGAAACCAACTGATGGCCCACCATCTACAATATCTCCCTGTTTAATAATATGTTTTTATTGCGTCATTAACACCGCAACATAACATTAAAGAGTATGATGCAAATGGCGGACTGTAGCCGTTGGTCAATCTACAACCAATATTTGGAAGTACAAAAAAGTCTAAATCAAGAATATTCATATAATATCATATAAACTATAAAAATGTATGTTACTGTTTACGTGTTAAAGTATAAAATGCTTCTAAAGTTTCAATGTTACTGCGTACATAAGATATATTCAACAAAGATTAAATGCTACCAAAATGTCTATGTTACTGTGGATTGAAAATATATTGTTCTAATTTTATGACGATTTGCTGTATTCCTAATATTGGCGTCTAATGCATTATAACATTCAGCGGCGTTATATGAGTAAGAGCGCTGAAACATGGCTGTGCGACGGCTTGGTATGTATAAATTGCTCTTACGAGTATATCTTAAATTTGAATCGTGAATGCCTAATTTTACTGATTCGGTTGTTTCACCTGAACGACGCCAGATAGGGTACTAAGCAGCTGGAGAGAGCAAAAAAGAGATGACTTGGAAGGGATTGAATTTGCCTCTAACGGTTGGTCCTGGTTGCCAACTGGTGTGGTACTGTCGAGTAATTGGATAGGTTCAAATCAAGTTGTTGTTTCCAAGAAAATATACCCGCTGTTGAGGACGCATATTAAATTGTGTGCGAATTCTCCAATTTTTGGGCGAACAACCACATTGTTGGCTATAGCCTTCCTCAATTTTTTATTCATTTGAGATTTTAATATCGGGTAAATATAATTACGGTACTTAGTTTATGGCCTGAGGTAAATTGTCCTACCTTAAACAACACGTAACCCAGAAACTAGGGTTAACGCATATATTCCGCATACCACTTTGACACGTAACAACCAATGAAATGTTAACTGACTGCAATGGCATTGAATGTCAGAAAATATACGTACCTGTACTGTTTTCCATCATTCCTAGTTCCTTAACATCATATCCGTCTCTTGCTGCATCTTTCACATCTATATATTCTGCATTCCCTTGAGCATTGTCGGCTTCCTCTGGTTCTTCTAAACCATTTATTGCTTCTCTTATTACCTTCTCTCCTCGAGTTTCTGTCAAAACTTGGAAGCTATCTTTTGTGGGGAATATTGATTCCAAAAATTTTGATGGCTCACTAACTCCTGTCAAGCTTTCTTCTATAGTTTCACTGTATTGCCTTTTTGTTCTATTTTGGATCTCGCCTGTAATCAAAGTAAACTTTTTTCAGAGTGACTACAAACGTGTAAGAAAAGATTTGTAGTGACATAGCAAAATGGAGGTTCATGCTTAAACCACAACTAGTATTGCTATACAAAAATAATAGTCAGAGACCACATGTATGAAAAATATACTATGCTTCTTAAATAGAATGGGAGATCCGTGATTCGAGTACCTCATATAACTTAAACTTAAATCACAATCTTTTGAAATGGCTGACTGACATGTAGTCAAAGTTGGGCGTTTTTATACAAATCTTCACCTTTTGAAAGGATTTGTGAAATAAAATATGGGGTATTAGGATTGAAAAAAAAAACAGATTTTTATATGGGGTGTTGAATATTTTATTACATATCCGGATTAATTTTCGCAGGAAAAAAAGATGAATATAAGATAGTATAGCCTTTTGATGATCGGTTGTTGAGTTATAAGCTCCTCAATTTATAGAGCTCAATTTTGACAGCCTGCTAGCACATCTCAAAGGTTAGTAATTTTATGTTCCGAAGTTAAAAATATCTTTAAAATGAAGTTTTATACAGCCCTCCATTCCGCTTAAAAATTGCTCCAAAGTGGGGCCCAGCCGCCATGCTGAAATTTTAACCCGCCCCTTTAACGCTAAAAAATAGTATTCATGCACCAATTTCATTACCTCAGTTTCAACTTGCTAATCTGCCCCGTTCATAAAATACGTATGCTTTCTAAAAGGTACTGTACATATAATGTTAACGATACATAAGTGAGTGCAAACTGATAGTTTAGCTTTAATTCGTGCAGTAATCAATTCTGGTAACAAATGGCACTCTGTGATGTTATATTTCGATAAACAGGTGCACTTAGAATCTAGATATTGATCACAAATTGTTCTCTAGTATATCCTTCTCGGTATCAACCGCCCAAATCGTGAAAGACATCGGAATTGGACGCAGCGGGTTGAGTCTGTCCTGCAATTGGCAATTACCGGTTTCTTTCATTCTAGGCGTTCTATTGATGTCTTGTCTCTTATATTGGAAATTATGGGATACGAGATATTATTAAAAATCAGGATGTGCCAGCACAATGGTTTTGTGTTATCGTTTACGAGAATTAGTCAACTTGTTTGAATATCCAACGATGTACGAGGTGTGCAAATTAAATGATGAGAATGGCAGCGTAGCGGTCGATCTGGCAACACTGGAGACGCCGGGCTTCGAGCTGAGACAGGAGAACATGTGAGCCGCTTTTAGTACAAATTTGAATTCGCTCCAGTCAGTTGGTTGTTCGTAGAGATTTTCTTTGTGAAACAGTTTTTTCTATTGAGCAGACATACGGAGATAGTGTTTCGTCAATAGCTCAAGTTTTCATCTTCAAGAAGCGATGAAAATATCGACAGAGTCCGGGATATTGTGCGCTAAGCTCATGGTTGGTACTCGGAATGATTGGAAAAGAGTTATATTTGGCTCACACCACCGTTCGTCAGACCAAGAACAACTGGGCGTTGAATCACGATAATGCTCCTTGTCACCGCAGTCAAGAAACGAGTTTTTGGCCAGTAAAGATATTCATCTGGCTCCTCAGCCTCCTTATTTGCCTGACTTGAGTCCTTGTGACTTTTTTCTTCCCGAAATGGAAAAATCACCTCAAGCAAACGTAATTTCGCATAGTCGAAAACGTTCAAATGGCTGTAACCGACCATTGAAGGCTATTTATTCCAATACCACTGCTATGAGGAATGGAGGAACCGTGTCCAGCGGTATTTTTCTTCAGAAGGCAGCTATTTGAGGATAACAATATAAAATTCTAATTACATTTGAATAAAAAAAATTAAAGAAATCGCCTAATTTACAGACTTCGTATAGTTTACCGAATTTGCAGCTGTTACCAAATAGTCACTATGAGGCATGAGGGACATCTGACTATTATTGTATTGGCCTTGTCCAATATGTATTTGATATTTGGGTAGTCACTGAAATTTGATAGCGTTTTCCACTGGCAAGCGTAGGTGCATTTTAGCACACATCAGTATGAGAGCTCAAGAGGCTAAATGGGTAGGTAGTTTCTCGAGCGCCGAAGCGACCTTCTGGGCTTTGAAGATTATATCGCAGAAATAAAAACAGGTTATATGGTGTGATACCCCTTTAGTGGCAGGATGAGCGTCTACAGGAAAAAATATAGTTAGACAGAAATACTCGAGCGCGAGAGATATTTATATTGTAACGGGTGATTCATTTAGAGGTACTTTTTTGGTGTGGCTGTAATTGCTTATGACAACTAATTTAACATTTTCTGTTTCACTATTGTTCGACATTTCATCGTGGAAAGACTTAGTCCAGCACAGCGTCTACAAATAATTCAGCTGTACTACGAAAAACAACGTTCTGCGAGGAGTGTGTTTCGTGCACTTAGAGCAACTTATGGTGTACATAATCGGCCCACCGAACGCACAATTCACCGTACGATTGAAAAATTTGAAACCCAATTTTCATTATTGGATAATACCCGACCAAATAGACCACATCCAGCACGCAGTGAAGAAAATATAGCTGCGGTAGCTGAGAGTATACGTGAGGACCGTGAAGAATCGATTCGGTGCCGTTCTCAACAGCTTGCCTTGTCGTATTCAACAACTTGGCGTATTTTACGTAAGAATCTTAATTTGAAACCATACAAAATTCAACTCGTTCAAGAATTGAAGCCGGCCGACCTTCCAAAGCGTCATCGTTTCAGTCTTTGGGCTCGTGCACGGCTTGAAGAAGATCCGATGTTTTCGAGCAAAATTTTGTTTAGCGATGAGGCCCATTTTTGGCTTAACGGCTACGTTAATAACCAAAACTGTCGTATTTGGGGTGAAGAACAACCCGAAGTGGTTCAAGAGCTGCCATTACATCCAGCGAAAACAACGGTTTGGTGTAGCTTATGGGTCGGTGGAATCATCGGTCCCTATTTTTTTAAAAATGAGACCGGTCTGAATGTAACTGTAAATGGTGCTCGTTACCGCGCCATGATAACGGATTATTTGCTGCCTGAAATTGAAGCCCGTAAACTCGATGACAAGACGGCGCCACTTACCACACAGCCCGTGCAACCATGGCTTTATTGCGAGAACACTTAATTTCACGATTTGAACCAGTGAATTGGCCACCTAGATCATGTGATATTACACCTCTAGACTTTTTCCTTTGGGGCTACGTTAAGTCTAAAGTCTACATTGATAAGCCCAATACGATTGAGGAATTAGAAGCCAACATTACGCAGGTCATTCGCCAAATTCCAGTCGAAATGCTCCAACGTGTCATCGAAAATTGGAACTGTAGAATGGACCATCTCAACTGCAGTCCTGGCCAACATTGGAAAGAAATAATATTTAAAAAATAAATGTCAAAAATAGTTCCTTTCTTTAATAAAAAAAAATTGACAAGAAAAAAGAATTTTGTGTGTGTTATTTTACTTTCTGGCTGAGAAAAGTACCTATAAATGAATCACCCATTATATGTCTATGCCCCACGTGTCACTGATATTGGAGGTATAATAATCTGCCGGCTTGTACCGGGTGGGCCATTAATGAAGTACCTCGGCTGTATCTCGGCAACCAGTCAACCTAGAGCGATCGGTTAAAGCATTTTATAGCGAGAAATTATTGTAAATTATTTTCCAGCTCCCTGCTGGCTGCCGGAGGGCATAAATCTAACTCAAAATTCGATAATCTCAAATGCATTGGAATTATCATTTTCCGAGAATCGCAAGAAGAATCATATAAACTAGTGAAAACCACATGCCGTTACCTTCATTCATTATTAAACTTCCTGTGCACTCTACACCACTGTCAAATCGTCAGATTATTGAAATACACACTTTGTAATTTAGCAACCTTATCTTAGTCTGATGCACACGAGTGTTTGTAACCCTCGTTTATTTTTAATACCCTGATCGGCTTCTATAGAGGTACTGAAAAGAATGCAAGGTATCCGTCCTCATCTCAATGTGCCGCCTACTGGGTAAATCCTCAAAATCTCCCATTTAGCTCCCCTACTTTTTGCAATAAGGATGTCTAGTGCAGGATGACTATTTTGCATTTTGTTGACAACTTATTTAAATTTTTTGCTCCTACTACCCATCCAAATCCCAAAATTTTGAGGAACGTGTTGAAACATGACGTTCCAAGCTTGGAACTCTTTTGTCATCTCGTTGTGCACCGTAAAATTTCTTGATGCATAAGTTATACAAATTGAATTGAATATGCTTACGAGTGGAAAACACTATCAGATGAAAGATAAATGAACCAGAATGAAGCTATAGTTCTGCTAATTCGGATTGAGCCTACAAAGATTTTGCATAGTGCTAATAATATGGGATACCAATTTACCTGTTGTGGTATCACGTACAGTACTGACATTCAACAACTCAGGACTAATGGGCACATAAATGATATGAGGCTTGTTAGTACAATTGGCCAAAATGGTTTTCAACTGGTGTTGAAGATATCGATCCACACCTTCACGTTTTATGATGTCGTATGATGGTGGCTGAATGATATGGCTGCTGACATTCAAGTTTGTGATGACGTCACTAGACAATGCATCTGAAACAACAGGTGTGATTACTTTTGTCATAGAAATTGAGTTGAGTTTGAGACCTATCCACAGTACAAATAACATATTCCAAGACATGAAGCATCTAAACAACAAACATGGCAAATTATAACAAGAAAATAGCTAAAAGCAATGGTATCAGATAGGTATGCTGTAGAGTTGTTGGGATGTCATTCAAAGTGATATATTCAGCGCTACAGATGTCTCTTTTCTTCCTTAAACTTACCATCTCCAGATTCTTCTACAAGTACCTTGCATCTCTCAAGGCAGTCCTCGTTGAATGTGAGTTGATATTCGAATGTTGTGGAGACGGTTGTTAACAGACAGAAAATGTATACTATCACGATAATGCTTTTAGCCCTTCCTTCTGTACAAAAGACTTTTCCTTTCATTGGATGACATACAGCAATGTAACGTTCTAATGTGAAGCTGACCGTCAACCATGCGGAAGTAGCACCTTAATAATAAGAAATGGATGGTAAGTAAAAGAAAAGATACATTAAACAGTATGCAGGCAAAAGATTGTAAGAAGACAAATATTTTATGGCTTTACACGATGTCATGGCAGCAATCACTGATACAATCAGTTCTGTTACTGCAAAACACCTAATTTAATACGAAATTTATCACAACAATTCTAAGCTAAATTGAAATGGAAAGAATAATAGAGAAAACAAAGAAAATTAAGATTTATTGGATAACCCTAGTTGCACTGAGTAATAACCATGCATGAAAAATAAATGTTACTATTGACTAAGGTTATGAATGAGCATAATTCTAATGTGTGAGTTTTTAACCGACGGAATTAGTCTTCTACTTACTAGCAGCGTCACATAGCCAGTGCGTCAAGCCGTAGAACCTCCAGTATAGTTCATATCTTCTATCGTGGATATTCTTATAGTGCGTGAAGGACAATAAGAAGCCAAATATCAGATGGAAAATGTCAGCTATGGCCAAAGCTGAGAGGTATATGTTTGTGGAGCTCCTCATACGCCTCCTAAAATTCATATTAAATTAGAAGTGGGGTTGTGATTACAGTTGCTCAGGTACATCAGAATCTGAGAGTAACAAAATGGGGATCAAGTGGAGTCGATTTCTACCAAAATACTAAAAATGGATTAGTAGAAATTCAATATTGATTTTCTCAAAAACATTCAATCAACATTATTGCCGTTGATTTTTCCTAGATATGCAGAATAGATGTCTGTGGCATGTTATCAATGGAAATATACAGTATATGGAGTGAGTTTATGCGCGCATGATGCTTTGAAATCGTAATGCCTTCCAAATCTGAAATACCACCCTATTAACACTGTGCGGTGTATTGGTCTTCTAGGATGACCACCAATCCAGACAATTCACTGGCATCTGGTAGTGTCTGACGCTAGCATGATAATTACTGGTTGTTTATAATTCTTACTTTTTATTAGCAATGAAATAATTGCCAATAATATAACTCAGTTGGTGGGAACGTCAGGTATAGTCACACGCACTTTACAATGTTTAACTTTCGATGTGGGACTTTGTATCAAGCGCAACAAACCTTGCTTAGGTGAACTCTTTCAAATTATGAGACGTTTCACCTATTCACTCGTTTGGAGCTAAAAATCAGCGCATTCAGACAACGCACAGCTATCCAACGGTGCAGTGCTTCTATTACTGAAGAACACTAATCATGCAAATATTTTTCATGTTGACATTAATTTTTACTTGGCTGTCAGGTATGACACTTTCTACCTTTTAAATCTGCCTATGGTAAGCAGAACTAGGAAGGATCTCCACAGCCTGGCAATGATGGTACCGGTCGGTTCTCGATGTACGCGATCCAACAGAGCTGTGGCAGGCTCAACGCGCGGCAGCATCATGGAGGAGAGCTATGAGGAGCAAATCCTGTTAACATAACGGTAAAAGATAGCAACATCGCTGACAACCCGCCAGTGCGAAGTGATCCCCAGACTGCCCGTTGGCGAAGTGTTATCAATCAGTTGAATGGTCATCTTCTGAACAGCATCGAGTATGGACATCTGGTCTGGGAGGCAGCACTCCAAACATGTAAGCAGTACCCGGGGCTAGGCCTTATCTGTTCCCCGAAAAAGGAGAGACCGCTAAATTTTTCGCCTACTTTTGCACAGTATTTTGAGTTTATCAAACGACATACGCACTCGTTTCCTTTCCTTTCATTTATATCCAGGACTAAAATACTTCTTAGCCCTGAACAAATAACCTAGCTTTTCCCAGCAGCTATTGTACTGGACGAGATGTGATTGTGCCAAAGCAAATCATTGGTGACGTGGATTGCGTCCAGCTGATATTGATGGTTTTTTGACAAAATTCTGCCATCGCTAGGACGCGGTTCTTGTTACCCAAGGTACAGAGTACTGTGTTTTGGAAGCACTGAACTCTACGAGAGCGGTTATAACTTCCAGACCCCTTGTCAGAAAGGTCGTCGTTACTAGTCTTCTTCTCTCCAGCTTATCAGAAGAGATCGTTGCCCCACTGAATGATTAGGAGCAGAGTGCCGTCGTTGGGAAGGCTTTGGATGCGATTGGTCGTACAGGAGAGGGGGTGTCGATTATTGGTGGATCTCTGGGGAGCACCTGCGCTGACATTGTGGGACGAAGAGGAGAAACCGTCAATTATGAGTATCTTGCAGCCGGAAGCGAAGTCGGCCACCTATCTCCCAAAGCTTCTCTGGAAGGCAGCTTGCGTAATAGGGGTGTGTGCCACAGCTGATCGGAAGCTTCCGTGATGTCAAAAGTCACGACATAACCCTCTCCAGGTGAATGAGTTTACGCAACAGTAGTATGACGTAAGCAAGTAGGTCCACCGTTGAGCTCTGGTGCCGGCAATCATACTACCTGTTGCTAAACAAGCCATGATGTTTGAAAGTCTAGAAGCTTTTTCTGCACTTCTCCATAACCTTGCTGATAACAGGAATAAAGGGTATAAGGCTGTAGTTGTTAGGGTCTTTGATCCTTTTTTGGGGCGGACTGAACATGAGCAAGTTTTCAATTATCTGGGAGGATACCACATTCATAAGGTTCTGGAAGAGACGCGAAAGGGCTGAAGCAAGCGCCGCTGAGCTTCTCTCCAGTAAAAATCAGGTTAGGCCAACGAGCTTTGTTTAGCACTCGCAAGCACTTCCGCCTCAGCGTTGAAGTCTGTTACAATCGGTCCATCATGGAACGTAAACGGAGGAAGTCAATTCTTCAAGAAGCTCTCTTTGACTTGCTTGGCCATTGTCCAGAAAGACCGACTGCCACTGTACTCCGAGATTACCTTGTGCTTAATTTTTGTATCGTTCTGGTCTTGAGCATTGTCGAATGAATGTTGCGAACTGTCATGGCTACTGCTGTTCAGCATCAAAGCGTTGCACCCCTGGAGCACTTGACGTTGGCTAGCCACACTCAATATTATGAAAATTCATTTTTATTTCGGTATAATATCAGTTGAAAAATAATAGGAACCATATCTATGTAGTACAACACAGCTTAGTGTCATCTGGTTATCGGTTCAAAATTTGTTCGATGTGTGTGGTTTGACAAATTGAGGGATATAGAGTCAGATTTCAGATCGACGTCTTAGGCAAGCATAATCATGCCGCACGGGTATTACGAATCTTGAAAAGTGACATTATGTCGATTTTTTGACATTATATTGGTTTTTTGTGACATTATGTAGGTTTTTCTACAAGATGTTAACGTAGCACTAGCTGATAGACACGTTCTGAACTCTTCATGTAGTTGTATGTGTTGCCTAAACCTCACGAGGCTTCAGTTATCAATCTTTGGCTCTGATGTGATGTAAAATCTGTTTTAGAGGCGGCGTTACTGGAAGTAACGGCAACGCATAGGTGCATGCTAATGTGTTGATGATAATTCCATTGGATTCTTGTCTCAAATACACTTACTTGAGATTCATAGCTGGAAATTAGTTGCCCATCCAATTTTTTATCCATTGAAATTACATATGCAAATTTGCTGAATTTAAAAATAAGAGAGATAAGAAATATATATATTCACTGTACACTGTCGAATTACAAGTAAAAACAACATATCCTGTCGTCAGAAAGGACAACATATAAATAACCCGTCGTGCACAGCTAATAGATATAGGTATGTTACTTCATTGGCAGCATATTCAGTAATGATTTTCTCACATAGCAAATATAGTCCGTACCATGAATGTTGGCATACACGTCATCACTTGATGCATTTATCCACGACTGGCAGATTTTCTGCCATCTCCTTTTAACGAGTGAGCACGACCGTACTGGATAACAATAACATATGTTTTCTGGTGCTACGACAGAAGTTGGGAGCGTTGCCGCTTACGCAGCAATGTGTTAGACAAAGACGGTATTATTAGGTAGGTCGCACTATATCGTAAGTCACGGTGACAGCGACGGTTGATTTTTGCACCGTTTTCCGGTTTGTGGTTCTTTACAATTAGTGTAAATAAAGTGAATAAAAAATGCCCGGCAAAAGACTTGATGGAGTAGCCAGGGACATGGTGGTGAAGCTACTAAAGTATTTTGATCGCGAAAAACGTAATACCTGTGGACGCAATTCAGGAGGTAATATTTATATGTATGGTTATATGTATTATTGAAAAAAGTTTTACGTTGTTTTTTCTCCTTGCGTCATGTTTTTCTTGTTATGTTACACATGTATTAAAAAATTATATTATACTTTAATTTTTATATCTTATATTACATTTTCAAATGGAGAGAAAACTATCAAGACAGACAATGAATAACTCTGGTTTCTCGAAGCTTAACTCTCGAACGTCTCGAACTCTCGAACGTTGAAAAAAAAGTTGTAGGGTTTTTTCACCATCGACAGAACCTAAAAGTTTATTCACATGCCTATCACTAATACATGTGACATTATACGAAGTCTAATAAATCATAAAATAAATAAATTAAATTTTCAGCGTGTTTCCCACGCAATGGGCATTAGTATGCGGACGGTGTCACGTATTTTCAGAGAATCAAAAGAAAACCGAAAGCCCGTAGACCAAGAAGATCAAGCTGCCTCCAAAACAAAAAAATATAAGCCCCGGGAAAAAACAAAAACGGCAGACTTACCAGACGCTGTGAAGATGGAAGTGAAAAATGCAATTTACAACATGTACTCAGAAAGTACGTATTTTTGTCTCCATTAATACGATTTATTTATGTATTAATACTTACAGAGAGGCATGTTACTATCAAAACATTAAAGGAAGAATTGGACGTCAAACAAATAGTGGACATAAGCAAGATGTCATTGTGCTGCTTATTACCGCTTATTGGCTTCCAATATAAACAGGAAGACAACCGGAAGGCGCTTATGGAGAAAAGCAGTGTCGTTGCTTTGAGAGCAGAATTTCTGCGCAAATATAATGAAAATGGAAACTCACCCTTTAAACGCACAGTTGTTTTCTTAGATGAGACATGGATTTTTGCAAAAGGGAACAGGAAGAGATCCTGGCAGGACGGATCCGTAAAAGGGACCCGAAAACCTGGGGGATTTGAAGGCAAACGCTGTATTGTATTACATGCTGGTCACAGTGGGGGGTTCGTGGAGAATGCTTCACTCATCTATGGCACTGCCTCAAAACTGGCAGATTATCATGGAGACATGAATGGTGATATATCTTTGAAGTGGGTCAAAGAGAAGCTGGTTCCAAATTTGGAGGAGCCATGCCTCATTGTTATGGATAATGCTTCCTACCACAGTGTATTAGTGGAGAAGCAGCAATATCATCTTGGACAAAAGCCCAGGTCATACAGTGGTTGGAGGGAAACAACATTAATTTTGAGAGGAACCAATTTAAAAGTGAGCTCTTAAAATTGGCCAAGCAACATGCTCGGCCTGCAAGATTTGTTGTTGATGAATACCTACGAGAACATGGGCATGAGGTACTGCGACTACCGCCATACCACTGCCAGTTCAATGCCATCGAACTAATATGGGCACAGGCAAAACAATATTATGATACCCATATAGGCGAGGAAGGTTATGGCGCTGACAAAGTGCTAGGCATGTGGCAGAAGGCATTGGAAAACTGTACTCCTGAAAGATGGGCCTCTGTTGTCACACACACGGAGGGAGTTATAGATGCATGGTATAACAAATAACGAATCCTGGATAATGTGCCAGAAGTGATTATTACAATCAATGGAGAAGACAGCAGTTCAGATGAAGATTTTTAAGACAGCGATATTTATTTCGGTCAAATCTACCCATGAAAGCTTGAAGGAATTGTTGTGTGATAGAGCCTGGTAATTCATCGTAACTTTGTGTTCATATAAACTATCTACCAGTACAAATAGAAAAATCTATTAATTACCTTATATGTTCGAGTATGTTTAATTTTAGAACTTAAAACTGAAATTTCAATATTTTTCTCAATGTTATGCTTTTTCAGAAAATATTCTGTTTTTCTTCATTTCCTGCAAAATTGAAATATGTTCCTTAAATCGCGCATTCAAATAACAATAAATCAAGACTTGCCGTTTTGTGCAGCAAATATTTTCGAAATATACAGAAAATACTTTTTGCCGCCTGACACAGTACATTTTTACTACTAAAAATCTCTTCCCGTGGGCACGCCTATGGATATTCGCCTATGGTAGAAAGTGCCTACTTCAAAACTATTTGCTCGGAAATGTACAAATGATGACGTGTACGCCAACATTCATGGTACGGACTATATTACTGCAGACCAATACGCATAATCACCCTGATGCGATCTTGCTATACAGCCAACTTTCTTCTCAGAGATGAAAACTATAGTCTACTCAGCTTCACAAAACATATGCAACCAACAATGCCTGTAGTTGAGCTATGCCTCTATAGGTGGACGCTCACAACGATCCTGGTGAGCAAACGTGGAATGACTGTTTGCATCCTAAAAACTAGCTAGTCTGCAAGATGGCATTTTATAGGTTTCCTTTTTTTGACGTTTTATAGGTTTTTACACAATACCCGTGGTGTTGCTATTTATATCACCTATAATGATTGGCTGTGTAATACTGATAGTAATGTACTGTATGAGATTTCATCGGCACTTTACATTCACCAGTGCTAATTCAATATATCTATAATACGAAATGAGCGATTTGATAATAAAAACATAAACTTGGCCACAAAGGGGTGGCAAAACGATTACTGCCGTATAGCCTTGTGACAGTAATAGTTTCCTAAAATCAAGCTACAATTCACTTGGACAAATGTTCTACCGATCGATGATTGAATCGTTGCACTAGACTTGACATATGACCTAAGGGCTAAGGTCCTCCGAACCGCCTTGAGAAGCAACGATGAGTAGTAGACTTGACATGAACTGATAGACGACAGTATTTAATTTGAAATATCACCGTTATGCAATTTTCGGATACAAAATACGACATGCATTTCTATGTTTGACGAATCCAATATGAGAGAAGTGATGTATTGAAACACCAGGGATGAAAAATAAATTTGAAATACGTCACAAGTGCGATATTTTTGTTTGGCAAGCTTTGTACACCGTTGCTCAAATCATTCAAAGAAAACTGAGAGGAAGGTATGAACATCTACAGTCGATATAACAGTAACAAGTTTTTAACCGAAGTATTTGGTAGTATGCCATCATATAGCTCCGGTGAAATTTTAGATTTTAAAGAGTATAGTGCCAAAGTAGAAAGAAGAAAAATCGGAAAATGCGTAATTAATTTTCTCCTTTTTAGAAATAATTTCCATCACCAGTAACTAACCATCAACAGGTCATACTGACGTTAAAAGGCCTGATTAACTTCAAGTTCAATTAAGAATAACAAACGAAATCCTGTTTGACAAAAACATATCAAACCCATATGATTGATATTGAAAACACATTGACCTACAGCGACGTGCGTGTATTTTTGTGTTGTTTATAAATACAGAACAGAGTCAAAATACCAAAATAGTGTGTTTGGACATGTAAATCGCCAGATTTTGTGTTATTTTTTTTTGGCAGCATAATGAATAAATAGATTCAGTGAAACACACTGAACGTTTCATAAATTATCGACGAGTTGCTTGTATCAGCAGTGTACTGGACATTAGTGCCGAGTAATAAAAATCGTTTAACTACTATTTTATGGCAGTTTTGAGTTTCATTTATTTCGAGGTGTTCAAATAGGTACTAGTACGCATTATAATAATGAAATGATTATACACGTCAGCAGTGGTAGAAAATAATTTGCGTTCTCGTACTATAACTAATGGTAATCTGGTAATATTATAAAAGATTTGATCAATCTAAATTTCTATAGCTATTTCTCTTGATACGAACGAATATATCTTAAAATTTGTTGGAGTAATCATATGATAAGTTTAAGCAGTTATTCAGTTAGTTATGTATCAAGTTTTCTCGGGTACCAAAGTACATGAGTGATTTCTATGATTACCATTCGAGGCATATCTTAAGTACTGGCATCAATACTTCGGCCATTATAATAGTGAGCAGTATATTTATTAATGAAAGCAAAAGCTTCACAAACATCGTAAACTTTTAGAAATATTTCCGGCTATCCAAATTGTCAGTAAATATGATCTTATACATATCTCTGGAGCGTTATCTATCTATAGGTAGGATATTCGGTAAGATTGAATGATGGTCGAAATAATTTTGTAATTAGGATTAATTATGATTAGACTACCATAATCGGTAAAATTCTATATTCAGAGAAAAGCTAAGACACAGTTTTGATTCTTTAGTTTGTTATCTGAATCAAAAACTAGATAGTGTAGGGTTCCGTATGGAGTAGCTGGTATATATGCATATTTTTATGAATATTTTCCATAACGATTTTGCATAAATCAGGCTGAATTTCGTTGATGCATCTAAAATTTCATTCTTCTGTCTTCAAGTACCTTCTTCTTGCCTGAACTGGATCATATTGGCGTGTATAACATATTTAGTTCCAAAAAGATGGTGTCACATGTCATAGATCCCGTGAAGCAGGTAAATTACTGCACATTTGTATCCGTCTCCGTTTCGGTGAACAGAATAGACCTGCCTAACGTGTCATTTCAAAATGCATTTGCTGTGTGAGACATTTCTTGGTCATGTACTATTTCGTTTCGATGATTGTTTTTGTTACCTAGATCATATGATTTAACACCATTGGATTTCTTTTTATAAGAATATTTGAAGCCCAAGACTTACACATGTAAGCTCATATCGAAATTGAAAATCAACGCTACCCCAACCAAATCCACGTTTATCCGATATGATCCAGAAAAATTCCAACATAAGGTGCATACAGCTTAAAAGGTTAAGAATGCTATTTGCCCGACTAAGTGATCTATACATAATCCTATCCTATGTACTTTATGATTCAGTAAGAAAATAACAGTCTAAAGGAGGAAAACTTTATTTAATTTAAGCTTTGCCTGAATTTTTTATAACCATCTGGATCTAATTTGGGAATAATTTGGAAATGAGTACTTTCATGACTACACGGATGATTTACAGTTTGCAACCTATATCTATGAGGGTACGTATAGTTGCAATGAACGATGTTATACAATAAATAAGAGAATAAAAATAAAAACAAGCATTTATACAGCCGATTCTAAAAGAATTAAATAATATTGTATTGTATTAACCTACCTTGTCAATACCATTATCGTCAACGTATTTCCAGCTATGCCAAGACATAGTAATATAGGTACCAGAACCTTTTGAACCCAAAACCTTGAAGACTCTAACACATAGTATAATGAGTCTTCTTCTTCATCCATATTTCATTGTCTGAAACTGAAACAAGAAAGTAGCTTTCTAAAGATCTTCCTTACAGAGATACAGTCCCAAAGAATGCTGATTAATTCGTAAATGATTCTTAGACGACTATTGTTAGCTAAGTCCATCTTGGGTCTGGCATGTTATGAATACTACAAATGGTAATTGCGTAGCTGATTGCATTTCCCAAACGTTAGGGACAATTGGGTGATGTGGAAACTACGCCATGCCATATTAAGATGCCCCAGCCTCTTCTTCATAACTGATCCAATGCCAACCAATGGGCAGTGACCACACACGATGACTCTCGCAGCTTAGAAATAGGCACAGTCTGCCATGCCTGGCACGTATATCAGCATTGTGTACAACTATAATGGCTCACATTCGATCATTGTGAAAAGAAGACTATAGATGTGCTGACAGATCAAATGCAATTCATAACGAAAGCTTCCTTCAATTTTTATCCAACATGGCAACTTTTTTGGTCCCGACTGATGTATAAACCTACACAAGAGGAATTGCTAATCATTTACTAATATGGACTGGTGCGGAAAAATGTAACGTAGGTGTATTTCTGAAGGTATGTACTCGTATTTATTGTCATGTCCATGAAACCGTTAGTTGGTGCTTTGCATATTTCTCGCAAAATTTGAATAAAGAAATTGGTCTATACACTCATTAAATGTGTAGTTTATGGAAACTGTGGGTGCTAAACTTAGCTTTACGGCCGATTTTAATAAGCTTTGCTGTTTACTAACATCAAAATCGTTGGAAAAATGCGTCGCTCCGGAAGTCATTCATCACTACGGACTGTAAATTTTATTCGCGCGTCGATCTCAGACAATAATTATGAAAGAGCTATTTGCTAAAACCTTGACAGGAAGGAAACGCTAGAGAGTGTCGTCCAGCCGTTTATTCCATTAACATGTTATTTACTAGTTAAATATTCACAGAAACGCTGGATGACCTGTAAAAACTGCAGTTTAGTCGGCTAAGGCAGAAAGTACTTCCTTCTCTAAAATATACTTGGTATATTGTGCCCTCCTATTTTCTTCTGGTAAAAAGATTTTACATGCCTTGCGGGTCATCTACGACTGAGGTCGGCGAAGTTTTAATGTTTACGAGAGAGATGCTAGAGGGAGACCTATGCTAGAAAGAGTTTGGAGCAAGGAGGTGATGGTTGACGGGTGGGCGCACTCTCTCTAACTCTTTCTAGCATTCGTGTTGCACGCTTCTCTCTCCCTCTCTCTCTCTTACACACACATGAAAACCCGGCTGACCTCAACCGTAAATAATTCGTATGGTACGTATCCAGAAATTGCAGGGACGTGGATCTATAGACTAAGCACAAGTAACCAGGGTGATTCTTCAAGTCATCCACTTGAGCTTGTGATACTGATAGAGGTCAAAGCATGAAAACGAAGAAGCCTTAATATCATAAAAAGTGGGTCTGATTCATCGGGGATCAGGGTTCTCTAATCAAATCCATTTAATAATGATGTTCACTGTAGAACCCTCAGAGAAAAAAGTATTAGAATACGCCAATATACATCTACACCTTTTAAACAAAGTTTTTCCTACATGTTGCTTATAATTATAATGATCTTCCTAAAGTGTATAAAGAGTTTTCTTCACCTGTTTTTCGACAAAAGGTCAAAACAACACTACTTAACCCCCCAAACATACAATAAAATGATCATTCATTCCTCTTTTCATCCCTTGATTAATTCAGGTTCATTATCCTTAGTGTACCTATGTTTGGACAGTATGCCTTTTTCATTTTTACTTTTCACTTTCAATGTAACCTAACTAAATTTGTTTGTGAATAGTTGATTATTGTGAATATCGAAAGCAACTATATGGATAAGTGTAAGTTTAGCAGCATACTAAACTTCTCCATATGTATGTAGATAAATAAATTATAATATTTATTATTTGATAAAGGTTAGAACAAACGCCGAAAGCTGCTTTCTACAAGTTTCGTTTCCAAGAATTAACTATCTAGTGACCTGGAACGAATGCTCCATGTGATACTGACATCTGACAGATTTGCATACAGAGTACACGTAAGATGTAAGTCAAGAAAAGCCGAACTTCAATAGATAGACGACTTGTGTGTTGTTTAAGTTGCCATCATCCAAGCAAGCACAATTCTCATACAGGCGCCCGCACAATTTTTCTTCGGAGGGGGCGATCATCGGCAAGACATACATTTTTCCGAAAGCTTACCTGACCCCAAAACTTGTTGAAGAACAGAGGAAAGCAAATTTTCCCAGGGGGAAACGTAGGAATTCTCAAAATTGTACACAAAATAATGCTAAATATACAAACTGGATGGTCCAGCAACATTCCCAAGGGAGCCACAATATTTGAGAGAAATTGTAAGTGGATTATTTGATGAAAATATGTGCAACAGGTTAGTAGACGTGAATATGGGACCTGCTAAGAAAAAAAAATGTACCGTGTCAATTTTTTATTTGCGAAAAATAGGGTTAGAAACCGTTTGTTTTCCATCAAGTTATTTTATCGCTAAAAAAATAAACGTTAGCTCCTTGTGACACAAAGTTAAAATGCCATTCAAGTCCACTTTTTCGACAGCAATTTTACGTATTCATTCAGAAGACTGCTATGTGAAAAAAAATTCTATAGGTATTTATGACGGAAAGGCCATTAAAATTAGTATCATAATTGAGGCTAGCATCAAATTCGCCTTGGTAGACTTGGTAGCCTCAAGTTGATTTTATGTAGGTACGTCGAAAAAATTGCCTCATGCCCTTTTAACTATTTGACATAGACTTGTGATCGTCTGGTTTCCATAATTAGCCAGCTGATCATGTAGCGAACCACGTAATCACACATACAATATGTAAATTAAGTATGTGTAATTTTCTACCAAATCAATCTTCTTCAATCACTTAGCATATACTCAAATGGTATTGTTTACACACCGCTAAGTGTCTCTTGTTCCTCTAACAAGTTGTCATTTATAAATATAATGCAGTAATGACTAAGGATCTCCTAATTAGATAGCAAAGTACTCTACGCGTGGCTTTGGAATGGGATGCCGATTAAGAAAATATTGATTCATTTTATTGAGCGATGATCTCAATGGTTCTGTGTACATTCTGAAGATACTTACTTTTATCTAGCTTATTTTTCTTTTCAGATAATTACAGCACACATTGATGATTTTCAAGATGTTATACATTGAAATAGTTGGTCTAGCTTTTTGAGGATCTTGCCTGAGAAACGGAAATCTTTATAGAATAGGCTTTGTACGTTGCTCTTGAACCCATTCATAGTGTTTACTGTGAAAAAGCCTTATTAGGTAGTATAGACACAGTGTGATTGTTTTAAGATTACAAAGTCTTTTAATCCACCCAGGGTTTTGGTATCACTCAACGCTCATGACAGTCCGTTTTCGGCCTTTGGAGCATTCAAACAAAAAATGATTCCAATAAATTAATTCATTCGCTGGTATAATGGATAGTGCTACTTAATAAATATATTTTTTAGCTGCATCCAAAAGTTTAAAAAATCATATTTGTATATTATCACGTTGCAATATATATAGCTCAAAAGAGTAAGTGCAAAATATACCAGGAGACTTACCATTTATAGATATTATATAACTGCAGCAATGCACTAAACATTCTGCCACAAAGATTCTTCAACGAAGTTATGAGAATATCTTTCTGATCCACTCGAAATCTATCTACTCAATTCCACCACTGTATGTATTTGCGCTGTTCACTTCACAATGGTATTTTGCGTTAAAGCATCACAAACTTGATAATGTTTGCCCGTACATGCTGTAAATTTGATTGAAGAGGGTCTGTGTTGCGAAGACTGTCGGAAATGAGCTATAATACTGGCATCAAGACGTTCAAGTTTTGTAAGGAGTAATTTTAAATTTAGACACTTGAAGTAACAGTGGAGCCGCAACCGTGCGCGATTCGCGGAGTTATTTTAATACAAAGCATTATGCGTTTAGGTAGATACGAGGCAGGTGCAAAATGTTTATGAACCATCAAACTTAAGGCGGCCATATATTATACTCTGTTACTCCAAGCTAATTGCGGTTAGACGTGGATGTTTTCTGAAGTAGGTTAGGTTTCTATTGGTGGTATTTGAGGACACCATAATATAACAAGAATATCGATATGCGCCGGTCTGGAAAGGGTCGAAGATTATTTAAACAAGTAGGATTTATAATATTATACTGGGTGTTACAAATTCCTCCATCACCATTGGGATCTTGGAAACGGTAAGAGATTCGAATGGGGGAAAATTGGGTATTTAGGTAACTAACAAAATGCCGTCTAAAATGGCATTAGTTGTTACCCGACTTTATTTGTAATAATATTTCAAAATAAATTGCACATTAACATTTCCACTTCTCCTCTACAAGATGACATGATTGGAATTTCAATACGTCATTTAGTATCGTGTCCTAGCATCAACATTATTTTTTCTTGAGGACACCATATTGGATTTTTGCACAGGTGAATCGAGTTTTTAATGCTGATTCCAACAATGGTTAATTCGTCATACATTGACATTGCCAAAATTGGTTATTTCAAAAATCAAGAAAAATTTCCTAGGTCGACCTTGTTTCGCATACCAGATTTATCGCAAAATAATTTTAGTTTTCTCCTGTCTTATTTGAGATGAGATTCCAAAATAAATTGCATGCTGTCATGGCCAGTTATTCTCCTCTACAAAATGTAGTTAAATTTTCGAATCGATGTTTCTCCTTTTGACTTCCATCACCAACTTTGTTTTTTTTTATATGAATGGACTTTTTAATCCTAAATTCAATAATGAATTTGCTTTGTTGGAAATGAATTTGTTGTTGGAACTAAAATCATAAGGAAGTAAAAATGTGTGATGAAACCTGAACATAAAACGAGATTTATATTGATGGTAATAGCAATAAGAACAATAAGTAAGCAGGGGTAAATCATAGCAGGTACTCAAATTGTTGTCAGTTATTTTGTAGGAAAAGCTTGATACTTCTCTGTTCATCAGTCACTATTCGATTTACTTCCAAACCCTGTTACTACGTTCAGTTTGAAGTCTGGTCTGGTATACGGAACAAAAGACTATGATAATTTCAAGTCGTGCTTAGGAAATTTTGTTTTTCTGTAATAACTGACGTTTAGCAATCTCAACATATTACACATCTACATTTTTGAAATCAGGATTTAAAAATCTATTTACTTGCGGAAAAATTGAATATGACGTCCAGAAGAAAAAACGAAGTTGATGTTGGAGGGCAGCCAGAAATTCTAATTATACCATCTTGTAGAAAAGAAGAAGTGACAATGGTACTGCGCAATTTAACTTAACATCCCACTACAAATAAGGCCAGGAAAAATTTAAAACGATTATGGGAAAGTTCCTTATTTTCCTTCTCTCTTCGCAAGTACTTTGAATTTCGGTGCTATATAAGCGGCATTTTGTTAGTTATCGAAACACGCAACTTTGTCTTGATTCAAGCGACTTCGCATCTTTTACCGGTTGCGGGATCTCAATGTTGAGGATCGAATTTGAAACACCCGGTATGTTACATATTGGAGCGTAATGATTTTAGAATAAAACCAAAATGGACCTTTCTATTCGTTTTAAGGAGACACTATGATATAGTAAGTCCACGGTAAAATAACAAAGATGGCTAAAATTAAGCAGACATTCTAGCTGATTAAATGCAAATTTGGCAGGTTAGAGTCAGATATTTTGAAACAGCAAGCTTTTCAAAAGGTTGAGTAGCCATTAAAAAAAATATTGTTAAAATATCATACATCAGCCGGATATTAATAATATGTTTCAGGTCTTATTATTATATTTGAAACTATAATTTCAAATATTTACGTGATCCAGAAAAAAATTATCGTACTTCTGCTTAGTTTTTGCAGCCACCTTTGTTTTTTGCCGGTGGATTTACTATTCTTCAAAAATAAGTATAAGACAGTCTACTTAAAATATATAAAAAGCGTCCTTTTCGGTTTTGCTCCAAAATCATGACGTTTGGAAGTATAACGTAAAACGAGGGAAAAAGTCCCTGCAAAAATAGCGATTTTTCCAAAAAAAAACTACGATTTTCGACCCTCGCTAGACTGACCCAGATCAATATTCTTGTTACACACGGTGTCCTGAAGAAACTGCAATAGAAACCTCAGCCACTTCAGGAAACATCCAACTACATGCCTTTCTGCCCATAACCCGTTTGCAGTATGTAGTAAGTAGTAACTATAAACGATACACGGTCAGGCGTAAGCTCTCTTCCGAAGGCTCGAAAAATGGAAGGCGGTACCACCCCGCGGATTTCAAGTATATATTTCGATTGAGGCCTATCCAAGTCTGTATTATTTTCCTTACACCCTGGCACGAAATTTTACGTTTATCCCGGAACAAAGTGAAAACATTTTCTGCGGAAAAATTGGAGTGCACCACATTGCAGATACGCAGAAGATTCTTAGGGTGAATCATTTCTTAAAGGTAAGCTGTCCATGAGAGTCGTCAACTGTTTTGAAGAGCTCAGCGACATGCATTCTATATGCTAAGTCCTTTTCAGTCTCTGTAGAAACTAGACATTTAGACAAAATCCATGTTGAGAGCAATGCATTGGAATAACCACCAGAAGATGGGTAACCTTTGAAGATAGTAGTGGTCTAGCGCTCTCAACCCGTCATTAAAGAGTCGCTCTCGGTTACCTAAAAGAAGAGACGGAAATAATAAAACTATAGGATCACGTTACTGTTCTGAACAGAACTGTGGTTTCAAATTATACCTTTCTAACCATTTTACTGTCTAGTTTCTGAATCAAATTAGATTTTTCCAAAGGCTGCAAACGGCGGCAGAATAGTAACTCACATCCAGTATCTTCAAGTGATAGTTGTCTTTCTTGGAAGCTATCAGATCTATTTTTCTGGGTTAATAAGGTTATTCGTTTCCTAACATAGATATGTCTATAACCATTTTTGTGCCTGGGCTCGAACTAAACTATGAAGACTCTGAATTGGCATAAGAAATAATGAGAAACGTCGTATTACTAAAAATAAAATTTATTATTTATTTACAACCCTAATAATATCCAAAGCTGATATCGTGTAAAGGTGGAGCGCCGTCGCTTGGGAGAGCGTAGTCTTTGCTCAGTTGATCCAAAATTCCTCCTGTTCTTCCATTGGCTGGAACTGCAGATTTCCTTGGAGCATACGATGAAGCAGAAGGCCTTGGTGCGAAGCTAGAAGGAGCTGGGCGAGGTGCTGGTCTTGGTGCTGGTTCGAAGGAAGCGAATCCACCTCCCTGTTCTGATCTAGAAGAAAAAAAATTGCATCAGGTTGGTTGACTTCTTCCCAGCAACTAAAGATTAAGTTAGACAAAAGTTAGCTCATTTGAAAAAAATAGCTGGTCCAATTAGCTTATAGTCCCCAACCATTTGACAACGTTGTTATTTAGAAACGTCTCCCTTGCCCTACCGACAGTACCCACCACCTGGCAGCGCTGCTATGACTATTCTCTCCACCTAGCCAGTAGCCACCGATCGGTAAGACCTCGAGGCAGGTATATCTACGATCGCTCTGTTGCTGTGACGCCTATGCTGAAAATATTCCTTTATCGTTGTAAGTTTCAAGAACACATATACGGAAAAATCTATGATGTTTGAAATATGTTTAATAAGGTGCGTAGAATTACCGAGGCTGGAAGCGAATAGATATGTTAGGGCCAAAAAGTACAGAGATAGCCCTTCACTCTCTACCATCCCCAATCCCAAATTTAAGCTCCTATATTTTTTTCTGAAAACGAAGTTTGAGCAAATTTATTACTTTTTTCAGGTTTTTGCCTGTAGTGGAATCGGCTCTACTACTTTCCAAGTTATAGTGGGGTTAAAAATGAGCGAATTTACAGACCAAAGGAGATGGAATGACATGATTTTTCGTGATGTACAGATCACACAACCTCCAAAAAACATCTATTTCGAATTTTTTCGCGATTATAACCCAATTGAGTGGAAGGTAAAGGTCGAGTATTGGTTATTTAGAAACGAACATTTCTCTACGACTGTTCAGAACTTACTTGTATCCCTAACAACTATAGATCCATTACAAACATTTTCTCTAGCGTATGCACGGGCCCATCTAGAAACTTTAAACTTTGTTGACACAACTTTGTGTTCATCTGTCCCTGATATAACTGCATTAAGAATTAAGATTTATTGAAGACTGAAACCTTCTGACTCGAATGGCGGCCAATAGAAAGGCTGTAAAGTTGTTCAGTCAACAGTGTTCCATTTTGTAGCCTTATTCATGAAAGACGTTGGGTCAGTATATGAACACCTTTACCTAATGAATGTGTTTCAGTGTGTCTCATTCTATTGTTCATGAAATATTTGTTGCATTTGCAATTGTTACCTATCTTATCGATACAGTTCCTATGAATACTGGAAAAGTATAATAACAAAAGTAGATGAAAAAATTGCAAACAAGTTACGATGAATAATTTAATCGGTTTGCTAACCAATGACCTTAGAACGAACTTTAACATAATAAGATCAGTTTCGTTTTCAAAGTTTGAATATCCGTGATATTTTTCAATATTAGTCCAACGGTATCGAAATGTTTAAAGGCATTATAAATGAAGGAACGTGAATATAAAACAGTATGGTGCAGTATAAAAAGAGTCTGATATCTTATGTTTATATTGTGAGAGCTGCATCTACTTACAAATTTTTCAAAGACGTGGTGCTGATAGTAATATATGATGAACAAGACGTACTTATAACATATTGCCTAAGCAGAATATCTGAGGTCAGAATACGTATGCGATATGCGATCGAATTTCCTCAAGATATTTTGTGTTGTGTTTTGCTTTATCTGCAGACGCCTCTTATTCGCAACAGTGAGGCACGGATTATAAATTACTAACCCGTACAAAATTTTATCTAGTTTCAAGCATTGCAAATAAAACCTTACTTCAGAGCGTGCTGTAGGTGTTTCTCATACCTCAACTCTTTAACTAAGTGTAAGCCCAAATTTTTGGCACATCCTGAATAAGAGATGCTTTCTCCATTGATTCGAACTTTAATTTTAGATTTATGGAATGCTCTTATTTTGTTATGGACAAAAATCAAGGCTTTACACTTCTATGGGTTGAGTTTCAGATGGTGGATTGTCATACAGTAAAGGATAATATTTGACAAATCTTCATTGATATTATTTTGGGCTTCAGAATATCTTGATACTGGGAAATCATACTTTATCTGCATATCACTGACAAAAACTGGTACAGTATTTGACACAATGTGGAAAAAAAGTCGAATTAGCACAGGGCTCTCCTCTTCTGTCGCGACATTCCAGCACCTATTTTCCGGCAGGTGATAGTGAGAACCTATATTGATTCCAATTAATCATTTTATCTATAAAAGTTCTTAAGGAGTTACCTTTCTACTGGTTCGACATAGGTTATCTTCGCAGGTCTTGGACGAAGCTCAAAACCATTTTCGACAGGCGCGGGTTGAGCAAATTGAACTGGAGCTGGTCTGGGTTTGGGAGCTGGAGAGAAAGATCTAGCTGGGCTTGGTCTGGAGACTGGTCCAAAATCGAAAGTCTGTGTTTCCACTGGAGTGGGTGCTGCACCTAGAAATAGAGATTTTGTTATTGTAACTCCCGAAATTTATCATGTGGTAGGAATCCATTGTCTGCCCGATTCAAACCACGTATATGCTCTAATTTCTGTTTATATTCCGACGTTTTGGCCACCACGGTGGCCTTCTTCAAGTACAGTGACAGTTAATGACAATATATTTTTGTTTATCTCTTCCATGTGACAGTTCATTTACTCTTTCTTTCCATTATTTCCATAAAGTGGGTTGTAACAATGGATTGAACTGATGTGTAGCATTCCGAGATGGTGGGAAACCATCATTATAGTTTTAAGGTGGCACCGAGTAAAATAAGAAAAGATCAGGTTTGTCTAAGGTTGGCGTTCCCGTTCCCAAAGCACATCCAGCCCTCAAAGCTACAGGCGAGTATCCGGCTATCTGTCCCTTAGTTTAATGTAACAACAGTTAAACCGGTATGAGGGCGTTTAGTGTTTTAGGGCCAATGGACGAAGGTGGCTTGTAAACGACAGATAACCTCATGATCGCTTGTCGCTTTCGAGGGATAGATGTGCTTTTGACCTGGAAGACACAAACAAAAATATACAGTCAGTAATCATAGTCATTGTACATGAAAAATATCTCGGAAAAAAAATTGTAGAAGAAATGAGAAACTAGAAAATCCCAGAAAAGCTTACGAGACTGAAAAAGAAGGATTGACTTAGGAAGTACGAGCATAGAAAGCAGCAATATACTCGTAGAGGCAACTATAAGGGACACAGCAAGAGGAGTTTAGAGGGAGCTCCTTTGAAATTATCTAGTGAAGGAAAAATATAAATATATATGTATATAATTAAGAGAATCCGAAGTATCTAATGCTAGCCAGAGGAGACAAGAGTGGATTAATAAAATCAAAATAGGTGTAAAATCAATTTGAACAAGTGCTTATAGGTATTAGTGACCGACAGAAATACGAGGGCAGCGGAAATCACAGAACATATAGTGAAGGGTAACAGGTCATATTGGAATTAGTACAGAGTTCTATAGAATAGAAATATAAGCAAACAAACCAAACTAAGGACGGATAAAAATGTAATCAGACCAGTAATCGTCCATGGAGCGGAGACGTGAGATGTGCCGTACAATGAAAGACCAGGAAAGACTCCGAGTACTAGAACGCAAGATTATCAGGAGAATTATAGGTACTATAAAATAAGACAAAGGGCTTAAACGAATTGGAGAATTGATGAGAGTGCTGAACGGAGAAGATAGTGTAAACAGTCCCAAAGAGAGACAATGATTCGCAGACCAAAAAATAAGAAAATGGAAACCAACGACAGCTAGAGCAAGAGGAACACCAAAACTAAGATGGGATTACCAAGTATGTACAGGGTGGCCCACTATCCATCGTAGAGGCATGCAGCAAGAACAGATACTCGTATTACTAGAATGGCCAAGAGAAAGATCTGGAAAATACTTCAAACTTTCTGAAATGGCCGCCAGGGGACGTAACTGCAATCTTTAATCTATAAGATGTTTCTGTGAATTTCGCTATGTCAAACTAACAAAAAAATACCTGATTTTTAATTTCGGGGATAATCTGAACCTTTTTTGCTTGACAATTTTTGCTGTATCTCTAAAAATAAAGTGGTGGGGGTATTCAAAAGTTTCCGTAAATAACAACATGTATCTTAGAAACAGGCGATTTTAACCAACATGAAGTTGAAATAGCTAGTCTTGGCCAAAAATGTTATAATATTTGAAGTTTTGTGAGTTTTACATGTGGCCGCTAGAGGGATTTCTTCGACATTCCGACAGAAATGGTTATTTTTCTCAAGAGAATCAAACGCATTGGTATGATTTTTTTTATGAAACAAGCTCGAGAAAACTGCATCTCGATATCTTGTTCATGACCTGAAATTTAGCCCAAAGAAGGTTTTATACAGAAATCCCTTAAATTTTTATTCTATAAACTAATTTTTCAGAAATCCCTTTTTATTAATTTAAATAAAATCACCCTTTTTGGAAGTATTACAAAATATCGCTAGAAGGTAAGTAATACTAATAACAAAAGGCATATTTTTTGTCTAAGTGCATATATTCACTATGGGTATATAAGAAAAAGACAATGAATAGAAGTAGACCATAGAATACAACAAAACAAATACCTAATGAAAACATTAATAATCCTCAAATTGTCATATGACATCTAAAAAAACATATTTTTTGAAACTTTTCGCCAGTGGCGTAGGAATCAAAATGCTACTATGTTGATTGATTGATCTGGCTGAGTTCTATTTGTGAAATACGTTACTTGTACGATTTTCTTTCAGTCAAGGTATTTAAGATAAGTGTAATCTAATATATTCCGCAATCTTACTAGTAATTACGTGCTCAATGACCTTTTCCACAATCTCAAAACAAGGCTGCCAATTGCTTATCAGTTGCTTTCGTTGCAACTGAATTTACAATCGGGTTGAAGTCATGTTGTCATCGGGATGCTTTTCGTCTAGTCTGGCCTTACATACTTAAATACCAAAATGATAATCCAGTAAACTTAATTTTCGTTTTGAGTACCATAAAAGCTTGCAATAGCTATATCTTGGTTAGAGAAGGTATATGAGAACCTACTCTGCCTCTATAAATAGAATCAACACCACCGCACTTACCAGCAATCTGAGGTCTTCTTGGCACAGGAGTATTGATAGGTTCAAATTGCTGAGGAGGAGAATATGACTCGAAAGCTGGTTGGGCCTTAGGCCTTGGCCTTAGTTTAGCTGCAGTGATCGCTGGCCTCACCGGTTCAACCTAAAAAATAGAAAAACACCGTGAGCTTTCCATTCTGCCAAAGCAATATTTGTAAACCTTCTAACAAGATGGCTCCAACTTCATAATCACTGGGAAACTTATTCTATCGAAAATATAATGAAGGCATATATGAACTGCTTTTAGCCATAGTAATGTCAACTAAGAGTCATACGAGTAGATATCTGATGTATTAACGTGATCGAATAACCATGGAAAAAAAGAATTATTTGGACTCTCCTTCTCCCAGAGACTCAAAAGAGATGGTGAGGTACTTATGAATTTGATTTACCTGTTGCGGTTCATAGTATTCTTCCTCCTGTTCGCTTTGAGGTCTCTCATCCACTAAAGTTGGTGGAGGAACTGTGATTCCTTCACCCGCAGGGGCAAAACCATGCTTTGTCGCACCATATTCTACCTAAAAAACCATAACTGGTATTTATAGGAATCAAGTAGAGATGATTCTCTAGTAGAATATTAAATGCATTAAGACGTATTTATGGTATATATCATCAATTCTTATTGATTCAACATTCACAATAGTTCTCTCCTTGCGCAATGGATAAGACAAGGATTTACGCGCCTGAAAAATTATCCGAGATGAAATGAGATACCTCAACATTATCTGTGATAATTTGTCTCAGATATGCTTCTCTTTTCTATAATGATTACTTTGAAAAGGCCTGTAGCTATATGCGTCGCGCATGCAATCAGTCTCTTTCGAAAGCGTGACGTCACTCGGTGGCAAAAGTCCCCAGAAACTGGAGAGAAACGTTCAGTTTATTAGATCGTTATCTGATGTGAGAAACATGATCAAGAGGGGTGATTTAAGCATTTAAGTATGATCTACTGTGAAGTCGCGTGATGTTCAAGCAACAATAACAAGAAAAGAAGAGACGTTTGAAATTTTTGTTTCTTCAGTTTTCCAAAAGACAAACAAGATTGTGAAGGCATCTAAAGCGGTTGCTGCTCAAAAGAAAAAATGTTAGGATTACGTCAAAATAAATGAAAGTCGATAAGTAATGCAATCCCTTCTCTTAATTTGATGAAATTATCAAGGACACAGGCTTCTCATTGTATACGAATAAAGAAAAGGGTTAAATATATGATGAGTATTGTAAAATAAATTCAATAAAACGGTTTACGAACACAAACGATTTTTATTGGTACCTACCGATAATTAAGATTGAAAAACCATGGGAATACAACACTTTATAAAAACTTATAAAGATGTTATAACGTACATAAGAGTCTGTATTCTTTTTCTGCGTAAAAATATAATAATGTTACTGATGCACAAAGATATTATAAAAAATTAATTTATTTCGATAAAAAAGTGAAATTATGTGTAGCTTTAAAGAGATTTTTTGATGAAAAGTTGCAGTCGCAATTTCAATAAGTGAACTTTGGACTGTCCAGAATGTCAAAAATCGTCTTAAATGTATGTTTCAAAAGTGGTAACTTCATAATGATATACCTCTTTAAATTCTATTGGCAGAATCACAATATAAATATAACATTCAATGTAATAGAAATATTATTATGTCAGGTCAATATCACAAAAAATGTTAGGCAAATACCTCAAATTTTGAAAAAGAAACGCTTAAATACAATGCATTTCTTGCTGAACAAGGAAAACATTTGTAACTGGCTGAGAACCTAGGAAATTCGATCGCGAAGTGAACCTATCTTCTCAAGTTATAGTATCATTCTCATACCTTGTTACCGCAACATCTATGAGACACTAACCTAATTATTGCAGAGAGGAGAAAGATAGCTGCAACAAATTGTCACAGGTGGCGCTACTTTATCTCATTTCATCTCTGATATTTTTTTGGACGCGCAGGTATAGTATTAGATTCACAATCTTTAGGTAGAATATAATATTAGTTTATTATATATTTGCGACTAAGAAAGAGTATTTAAGTTATGTAAAACCTTTTACTCACTTACCACTCTGACTTTTCCAGTGTCGTCGACATATCCGTACTTTCCTTTAACTTCACCATTTGGCAGCTTCGTTTCTATTTTGAAGGTGCCATCACCAGACTCGTAACCGTATGTGTAGGATCCATCCTCATTGTGCCTAGAAAGAGTATAGTATTTTATTAATGTGTGGCCAGCACAGAAATCAAAGGCAGTTTGTATATGGTTTTTAATTTAGTATTTCTATTTTTTCTATATGTAGATCTCCTAATTTCAAGATTATGTTGCGTTAAGCCATTTAGACGATCGTGCATATATATATAGAGAGAGAGAGAAAATTATCATGTGGAGAAAGGTATATAACAATCGAATCCACTTTTTGCGTATTTTGCCCATTATTTTCCTATTTTTGTTATATACCTTTCTCCGCATGATAATTTTCTGTTTGTAGATCCTTTAGGCTTGAAGTACCACAGCAAGTGGCTATAACCGGCCGCGTGGTTGTGGTTATTTGTCGCCTTGAAAATTCGAGGTCTTCCTGCCATTTTATGCTACAATGTGTAGGTTGGCTCTTGTTGTGGACTTCGTGTGTCTTTTTTTCCTCTCCATCTTCGTTTCCTCAGGTTACACCCGTATCCGGATGTGTGGGCATGTGTATCTACTTTTGTAGTTGCATATGTGCATTCATTTCGGGCCTGATGAAGCCAACCAGCAGAAATACGTATCGCTCGGGTTACCTATCCTATTTTCTGCTCGAATCCACTTTTTGCGGATTTTGCCCATTATTTTCCTATTTTTGTTATATGTATATATATATATATCTATTTATATATACATAATTATTACCTGTTAATCTGCTTTAATATGGCGACTGGTGGAGCCCTGTTTTCGTTCTTTGCTGGTCCCGAGTAGTTTGGTTGTACTCTTGCTGGAGCAGGTCTTCTGGCTGGAGGCAACTCATAGTCGTCTTCATAATCTTGGCAGTGGCATATTGAAACAGCCACCAAAATGACTAGCTGAAAAATAAAAATGCTTATACATTCCTAGATTCTATGTAAAGATTTATTACATTTCCTCGATCCCACATCAGCAAAAATCAAGTCACTTATTTCTTTCTGTCATGTGTACGCTATAGCTTGCAAAGTACCGCTCGGATTTTACTGAAATGCGTGCACAAGGTTTCTACCATTTTAAAAACGAAAAAGCTTTGAATACCGATGTTCGGTCTAAAAGCGGAAGCTATAAACTATAAAAGAAAATAATTGAAGCGTTTCTCAAACATCGCCTCTGGTGTTTTTATGTGTAGAGTAGATATTTTAGTTCTTGTTTACAGACGATTTTCAAGTCAATCGCTTTAAAGCATGACCAGAAGTAGATTTAGGGGGTCAATGGTATTTGTGGTCCTAAAAAGCAGATGGATTTGGTTTACTATAGTTAAAAGAATGGTCTTGAGGTGCTTAAAAGTCATGTGATTGAAATCCTCATTGTCAAATGTTTGCTGAAGATAATTTAATTGTCACATCCTTAAGCTCTTCAGGACTTTAATACGCCCATTCACCAGTGGGATATTGGAGCATTCTATTTTAACTTTTTCATGTCACATTTTGGCTAATCTGTATAACATTATAATCATGCAGATCTGCTGACCTCATAAACTTATATGAGGATTTCACTGATCATGTCCTGCTTTTTATAATACATATCTTACCGTACCCACATTTTTTTGACCACACAAACGATTTGCAACGGTCGAGTCCTGCAAGGTTACAAAGATTTTCTGACCGATACAAAAGCAACTTTCATTTCAACGACGGCATTTACATAATATGTGTAGCGCATTTACCATTGGAAATTCATTTACGTTTATTTATCGAGATTGGAATTGGAGGTTACAAAAATCGTTAAATAGTGTTTGAGCTAAGAGGAAGTAAAGTTAAATTCAAATGACTGGTTATCTGAGTATATTTATTTTATGGTTCAACAACCAATGTGAAAGGGAACAATTCCGTGCTTTACTTCATCTAAAATTAAAAGCTGCATGAGAGTTCCGTTTGCGTTTGCCTATCAACGTATGATCCTATTGAAAGTTAGTAGAGACTTAGAGACTCCAATATATCAAAAAAACGACAATAAGTTTCAAGTATTGCATTATTATGAATTACTCGTAGTAATCAGGAATCTAGGTTTTGGCTTCACAAGGTTTTGGCTTCATAACCCCAGGATTCTAACTTCGTTACTTTATGTAAGTACGAAGTTTTGATAATTACTATAAATAGTTTTTGTTTTGCTAATAAGTTTAACATCCGATATCTAAATAGACGGAGTAGCGAATAGGGAGTCAAAAATTCCTAAGCTTATTTATTACCCCGTAGATTATCTGCATTCCTCAAAAATAGTCTTGAAATTCAAAATACCCAAAAAGTCATGTATGGATCGTGCTAACTAATAAAGTAAAGATCAAGTAGCTAACGCAATCCTCGCAGCATTTGAGGCTCATGCACACCTCTACACTACGAATTGGAATCCAAATTTTTCAAAGACATATCGAAAAGAAAGATATAGGGACTTTGGGAAACCTTCTCCAGCCCCCTTGACAGGGTAGCAAAAAAAAATTAAAAAGCCCAAAATATTTCCCTCTTCCCTTGAAAAATCATAAGGTGCCATAAATTCAAGGTCTACTTACAGAATTCGTTATCAAGAACTTCATGTTAACAAGGGCACTACAACTATACTAGAGGAGGCGCCACTGATGTCGCTGCCTGATTTTATACGTTCCACTACCACTGCGGATTGTCAACCCACCCCAGCTGTGTACTTGTACTGCTTTGTTTCGTATTCATTTATAATGACAAGGTCTGATACAGAGTATTTAGCCCGGTTCTCTCCAGTCAGCTGTCTGAAAACCTTTCACTGATACACATGCTGGGCATTGAGAATAATAAATACAAGACAGGGTTCCGATATCACTGTATACAGTAGCGATCAATTCAGTATAAACAAAATACCTGCAATATTTTGCATGCTTTCGAATGACTGAAAAAAGATCCTGCAATTTTAGTCAGGCAATCATGTACTCCAGATGTTGCATCAAAAATGCCGGTCTTCTCTCAAATTGCTAACTTTGTACTTACTGTGGTGAAAATGGTCACACATTTGGAACCAAAGCAGCATTTGTACTAAGCCAGATTTCTCCTAGACCCACACAATTGAGCAACCCTGGTGTAAAAAGTACGAGTATATTGATTCGGTACTTCCTATGTACTATTTATTTTCTTACCTTAAAAATTCCTGGGGTTCAAATGCTTCCTGTACCATAACATGATCAGAAACATGAAAAACGGTACACGGTGCTCTTCAAAAGACCCTTACACATATTTTGAACGAGTCAAGCTAAAATTTCAGGTGATAAAATTGACGCGTAAATACCATATTTTATCGTAGAAATGTTACTTCAAAATTCCAATAAAACAACTGTGCTCCATTTTGAAACGTTTTACTTCCTACGCCACGGGGCTAGGAAGTATTGTAATTGCGAAGAATTTCGAAAATGAGATATTATGTTTTTTGGTTGTTAAATGAAATGTACACCACGAAAAACCGTCTGTATGTCCGATAATCCTTGGCCTTGGAAAATTCTGCTCGGATTTGGATGAAAATTCTACACTGCTGTCAACTTCGATAATTCTACGCACCTATTAGCCATATTATACACATTATAGATTTCTCCGTACATTTGTCCTTAGAAATCTTTCCGATACGGGTCTCCTTCTGGTATCTGGGCTACGCGCTTGGCGTAATGGTCTGCTTTATTCTTCTGACGATATGGGAAGGGGAATTTTGTATAGTGCGTATTCGATACTATTTTTTACATAGACGATCTTGTGCTGAATTTAATCATTTATTAACTGATGATGGCATTGTCTACGAAGTGCAGGATCAACCGGCTTGGCGCCATTTTTTTATATGAAACGAAGGGTCGTATGATACCTCAACGTGTGTCCTAAAAGTTTTGGCACAAAATATTTATCATATTTTATTTAATGATGAAATTTATTCAAACAGTAGTTAGTTATCATAAATTACAACTCAATATTTAACTGAACTATAGAATTATGTGGAGTGGCACATTCTGTTCTACCAGACGCAACTTCCCTCGAATGTCTCTCATGAGGTCCTGGACGGAATTCATATAAATTTGTTTCGGTTTTTCGTAAATTCACCATCTTAATTGTTCTTCATATTGGGCTTCCCAGCCTTCATAATAAACCTTCCTAGATAGTAAATCCCCAAAATCCTCTATTGGGCGAGCCTGTGGCAAGTTTGGAGAATTATCGTTTTTGGGAACAAAAGGTATGTTGTGTTGTCTAAGCCAGTTTTGGGTATCTCTTGAGTAATGACATGGTGCTAGGTCTGGCCAAAACATGATATGGTCATTATCATGATGTTCTTGGACAAACTGGAGTAATTTATCAATATAACTCTGACTCTTCAAAGCTTCACGCCTCACCCTTCACCACACAAAATTCGCTTTACGTTTGTATCTAACATTGTCAGGGCATTCCTCTACGTTGTCCGTATAAAATCCGTAGCTTCCCTTCATCTCAGAATTACTCAAAGTGAGTCTCTTTCGGTATCTTAGACCATTCCTCCCCAATTCCAACAATTCGGCAACGTTGCGTATGCATCGTGAAAATTTTGCCGGAGTTTATGTGAATTTTCGGGGAAAAAGTGTTTAGAAAAATCTGAAACTTCCACGTATGACTATTTAAGGGCTTCTCGATCCCACTAAGTAAAAATCCGGACTTTTCACCGATTCTTTAAACATAAACAAGCAGTTTGATCAAGTTTTATTCGACAAGAATCCGGTGCTCCGTTGTCACTTTGTGCCTATCATCATGAGTAATACGGGAGAGACGAAAAGGTCTACATCGCACTCTGTGAATTCGGTGTGTGATTGTGCCAGTTTTGCACATATTCTTACGGATGTGAAGAAAAAATGGATACCTGCCATAAGATAATTGTTGCTCAGAATGTCAAGATAGAGGAGTTGAACTCAGCTGTTGCAGTGCTGACAGCTAAGTTGGAAGAAAGAAATGTTGCGGCCAAGGAGGCTCCTGCAGTTACAGCGATGCAGTTAAGCGCACTATGCCAAAGGAACACTTACTACTGGTGAAGCCAGCAAATGATGAGGAACAGAAACTGGCTAGCAAAATAAATCCAGAGGATCTGCAGGTTAGTGTACAGATAAATAAGGTAAATACCAACGGCGACATTATATTAAAATGTGATAATCGGCGATCGCTGGAAAAAGTTAAGGCATCCATAGAGGGGCAATTGTCGAATAGTTGCTCTGTCTCTTTCCCAAAAGAAACGGAATCCTCGCATTCGTGTCTTGGAAGTGGACAAAGACTCTTAAAAGGAATATGCAGTGGTGTTCAGAGACAAAGTGGTTAACCAAAATAGCGTTTTATCTAATATGTATACACGATCCATTAATTAGAATTAGTATGGTTTTACAATGACTTCTTACTAATGAATTGCAAGACTTCTTTATCTGCAAGGTACTTCGGTCAGCCCATATAGCTTGCCTTCTGACCCAACAGTCTCCCACCTCATCTTCCGATAACAGAAGCTTGAATTATCCTGTAGACGACAAAGTTGACCATACATAAGGTCAGCCGTATCTGACGTCCAAGCCCGGGTTTTCGTCATATCTCGGAATGTTCACAAATTATTGGCCTTTACAAACAGAAATTGCAAATAGCATGGGTGGAGTCGGTCTCCAGCAAAAGACCTTGATAGCCAATGGTATCAGAGAGGAATGCGGCAGAGTCGAACTGCAACGAGAAGGCAGTCAGGCGAGTGACCTGCATGTCTGTATATATAAACGCTGGTCTCCTGCAAGTCACTACTGAACCAGTTCTGTAATTGTCATACAGGGAGGAGTCGATTGCATATTTGGGAAGATGCCGACAAATAACAATAAACAAATTTATTCATAATTACAACCAGAAATTACAGTAGCTCATTTAAATAACAAATGTAATTGCAAAATGGGCCTACATACAAAAAAAGCTGATACAAGTGCTGACCCATTTGAGACAAAAATAATGAATATTATGCTGTGAGAATTATAAGCGAAGTTGAGGAAAAAATGTAAATGGTTGAGATTTAATAGACAAAACTACAGAAAAACAGTGACGGAGGATATTACTTCCGCTACATTAATTATTGAAGGTTTATTATAATGCTAATTAATATACAGGGTGGGGTTAACTTGAAAACTTCCTAACGCTGATTTATGGAAAATCACTGATTAACAGAAAGATTTGTCAAGGTGGACAACTTTTGAACCAAGAACTACTTCACCCCCTTTCACCCTCGGCCCTCCAGGGTCATTCCCTTAAAACTTTTAAATCACAAGGGCTATCGAGTAATAGCTTGTTTGAGAGGTCTTTCGAAGTCCTTTATTTCGACGTTTAATCTTTTAAAATCAGTCGATTCCTTATCGAGAAAATTAGAAAAATCTGTATCTTAATTTGTTCACATAGAAAACAAAAGCACACGAAAATATCACTTTTTATTTCAATAAGTCTTCAAACAGTTACCCGCTAGGGTTTGCCAAATCTACAATTCGCTTATAATTTTAAACGTAAATTACTAACATGAACAGCAATTTGGAAGGTTAGACGTGGCAACAACCAAATAACAACTGGAATTTTTCCGCATTCTTTTCATTAACACAGATATCCTGAACGAACTGTATTTATTGTTAAACTGTTTAGTTATTTTTTGCTAAGGGAAAGAAACGATTTGATTTGCTGTCAGCTACCTTTGTGACAATCTTAGGATAGTGAAAATTAATGTATTGATTCAGCTTTTACTTCCAAAATGGTTTACACACTAGCCGAAAGAGTGGAGATGATTCCAATTTATGGTGCCCAAAGTCAGTGTGGTTGGCAAACTGCCGTCACGTTTAACGCCAGACATCCGGAAAAGATAAGTTCGCGTAAGTATGTATGTATTGGACCTTGTTACTGAATTAACTCAAACTGGATCTGTTGCAAATAAAAAACGTTATCATCGGAGAGTTTCGGATGAAGCCGTTCAAGTTGATGTCTTGGGTCATTTTGGAAGAAATCCTAATACTTCATTATGCAAAATTGCTGCTAGGACTGATATTTCATTAGGTTCTGTAGGCACAGTTACTAAACTCCATAAATTTCATCCATTCAAAATCAAAATATTCCAAGAGTTAACCAATGATGATTTCGATAGGCGGATTGAGTTTTGTGAACAAATGACCTCAGCGATTAATGCTAATACCATTTATGTAAAGAATACCTGCTTCACTGATGAATGCACACTTTATCTAAATGGATTTGTTAATAAGCATAATTGCAGATATTGGACCAATGAAAATCCTCATGCTTTTATAGAAGGACATACCCAGTACCCCCAAAAAATTAATGTATGGGCAGGCATTTTAGGAGACAAAGTGATTGGTCCATTGTTTATTAATGGAAATTTGAAAGGAGACGTTTATTTGGATATGTTGGAAAATTCCTTCAATCCGCTTATCACTGAAACCATTGAAAACCAAATCAAAGAGAATGGAAACCCTATACTTGGTGAGTCTGAAATATATTTCCATGAAGACGACGCTCCTTCTCGCTATGTTCTTCCGGTTCGGCAATGGCTAGACGACGAGTTTCCAGATAAATAGATAGGGCGAAGAGGGCTTATATAATGGCCCGCTAGATCTCCGAATTTGACGTCATTAAACTTTTTTCTATGGGTCTATTTGAAAACTATTGTGTTTACTCCCTAACCTGAACGTTTGGATGAACTTCAGCAGCTCATCATCGAAAGCTGTCTTGATATCCCACAACATGTTTTTGAAAAGGTCAGTAAGTTGACCATCGCCTATATCATTATTTGGCCTATAATGGGCAACATTTTG